AAGAAAGAAAGAAAGAAAGAAAGAAAGAAAGAAAGAAAGAAAAGATGGAACCAGGTGGATTCCTACACAAAGGCCTCAAGCCTCCAGCTCCTGGGGGCAGACCAAAGACACACTATCTTTTATAGGCCAATTATTCCAATCTGCCCCAACAACTCTATACACAGGTGCTTCTGTTTCTCAAGAAACTCTTTCGCCTCATTCCTCATTCCTGGCTATTGCAGATGGGCGGGATAAGCAAACAGCCAAGATCCATGGAGATGAGGTGCTTCTGCCAGATCCAGAGTGATCAGGAAAGGCTACATAAAGAAATTGAGACCAAAAAAGACAAGCAGGAGAGTGTTCCATGCAAGAAGAACATGAACAAAGGCTCAGTGTTAGGATTCCACATGGCTAGTTTGTGATGGGAGTAGGCAGATTATAGGGAAGAGAGACTGGGGACACCATGAAAAACTCTTCTGTCCCTTCTTTCATTTTGATGAGAAGGCAAAATGGGAAAACAGCTCATCTGGACCATGAAAGAAGCTAGGAAGCCAGCAGAAAATAAAAATACAAAGGTATGCTATGTGTTCCAAGTTTTGGATCAGTACAATTTTCCAATCATGGGGTAGAAATGTCTAACCAGATGCCAAGAAAATTCTAGACTCTGGCTCCAGTAGCTGTGACTGCCCTCAAGAGTAATGACTTAAGAAATTAGGAGAACCATGTTCCCAAAGCCAGTCACGGGAGTCCCTTCTGCCTCCCAAACAAGCCTGAGTAACGGCAGAAGCAGAGACAGAGCGGCCCGTTGGCTGTGCTAACCACAGCAATGATCTGCACAGAAATGTTCAGCTTACGAAAGCTATTGGTGTTTGCAACTGGAGTATGACAAGCAGCCAGATAACACCAGAAGGGAATGAGCTCCTGCCTATAGGGCTCCTTTTGATTGTCTAGATACATTCATTTGTCCTGGAGATCTTCTGAGTGGTGCCATGGAATGGTATTTGGGGCAAGTTCTGGATCTATGCTAACTTTAAAGGATCAGAGATATTATTTCCTCAGGACTGTCAATCAATTCTAAAACTAGAGAAGATAGATTTAAAATTACTAAATCACATCAAATCTGAAGAGTACATTTTCCATTTACCTTAAGGTCTCTGTGAATTAGCTGTTTGCCGTGTATATACTCTACACCTGCTGCTATTTGTTCATATAATTCCAGAGACAAAGGTTTGTCTTGTGTCTTGCCTCTTCTGTCGTCAATCCATGCCTCCAATGTCCCTTTATCACAGAATTCCATTTGGATGAGAAGGCACTTAATCTTTGCTCTGGATATAAAATTTGCAGTACGTTACATGTAGCAATAAAAATAAATTTATAAAAAATGACCTTTCTTTTTTAAAATTACACTTTATCTCCTTAAGAACCCCCAAACATGTCTCAAAACAGAAATCTAAATATAATAAACTTGAATCAAAATACATCATTTTTTATTTAAATCATAAGTTCCCAAATGTCCAGAGCACTGTTAACTATTTTATAAAGTTTGAGCCTGCCCATTCTTTAATGGTAAAAGATCCTTGATCCCCTTTGCTAATAGGAATAGGAACATTGGAGGCGCCTGGGTGGCTCAGTCGGTTGAGCGTCTGCCTTCGGCTCAGGTCATGATCCTGGGGTCCCGGGATCGAGTCCCACATCGGGCTCCCTGCTCAGCAGGGAGTCTGCTTCTCCCTCTGACCCTTTCCCCTCTCATGCTCTCTCTCTATCTCATTCTCTCTCTCAAATAAATAAATAAAATCTTTAAAAAAAAAAAGGAATAGGAACATTAATACAATGGCAATAAAGAAAACCAAAGTTCATTACTACATAAAATAATTCTGGAACGTTTTAATTTACTATCGACCTACTGAACATCTATTTTGTGGAAAGCACAGAACAGGCACCTAGAGAGGAAAAAATGAGTTAGATACCATCCTTGCCATCATGGGGATTACGGTTTAATAAGAGAGAAATACGGGCAAAACAAATCGAAAACAATAGCGTAAAGATAGGTTCTCAAAGAGAAGTGCCAATAAATTGCTAAGAGATGCCTGTGAGGACTGATTTTGCTAACCATGCTTTTATTTTGGTCATGAGGTCAACTAGGTTGGCCTCAATATTAATTTATATTCTTTGAACTTATGTTGGCTAGAAAATAGGAAGAGAAAGCCAAGAATCTGTGGAAAGCTAAAGTCCTGCCTGTATGCTGATGGTCAGCAACCCCTGAAACTAAAAAGCTCTCAATTACATGGGGCAGAGCCGGGGCTGGAGTCGGGAGTCGATGAATGAACAGGCCTCAATGTCCTCGGGATTTCCGTGAGCACAGTCCCCCCAAGAAACACTGGCTGACTTTCAGAAGGAGATGTCAGGTCTTGAGAGCCGCCCTCCAGTCCTTTGTCAGGGGCTTGAGACAAAACATGAGTGATACCAGATGAGGTACCTGCTCCTAGTCTTAAAATTATTTTCACTGAAAAAAAAAAAATTTATTTTCACTGCCCACCACACCACCGTAAGTGGTGTGGCTGTATTCAAGAGAGACTCCTTGGGGCACCTGGCTGGCTCAGTCAGTAGAGCAGGTGACTCCTGATCTGAGGGTCGTCAGTTCAAGCCCCATGTTGGGCATGGAGCCTACTTAAAAAAAAAAATTTAAATTTTAAAAAGAGGGGCGCCTGGGTGGCTCAGTCGGTTAAGCGTCTGCCTTCAGCTCAGGTCATGATCCCAGGGTCCTGGGATCGAGCCCCACATCGGGCTCCCTGCTCAGCGGGAAGCCTGCTTCTCCCTCTCCCACTCCCCCTGCTTGTGTTCGCTCTCTCACTGTGTCTCTGTCTGTAAAATAAATAAATAAAATCTTTAAAAAAAAAAAAGAGAGAGAGAGAGAGAGACCCTCTTGACTGCACCCCACCAACCACTTTTTCCGCCTCTGAGAAGGGCAGAAAAGTGCTGGCAGCTGAGGAGGGGCTTCCAGCTGTAGCATCGGTAACATGTTCAAACTTTCTCCACAAAGCTGCATTTACAGCCTGGTCTTAGGTTGTAGCATGTGAGCAAGCCTACACATTGACTGAGATTCTGAAAATAGCTGAGGACGATAAAAAAAAAAAAATTTTTTTTTAAGCAAGTTTGGAGCAAGGAATAGGAGCAACAAAAAGATTATGCGTTATTTCCTTACCTGGTGAATAGAGACATAACAGTGTCTCAAACAGTGTTTGTGGTTGTGATATTACTAATTAACGGCCTTATCCGGTGGCCCACACATAGTAAATGACAGTTTCCTCCATCCTATTAGGGCTATGAGAATTCTTTTTAGTTACCTTGAAGGATTTATGCTGTCCTCAAGATGGTAATCATTCCCAGCCCAGCAACCATAGTAGTGAACAATATTTGGGTGATCAAGTGCTGCCAAAGCTTTTACTTCACGCTCTACCTTCTTCCTTTAAAGAAACAGGGAACATAAAAGTGTCATTATACATCCCTGTAAAAACTACAGGTTGAGTAACAGAAGACAGCTATGTATGCTCCCTTAGTCAACGGTCACCCTGGTTCCCACACTCTGAGTGTTTAAAAGGGAAGCCAGGAGCACTCAAAAGGAAAGACTGAACATAGAAAAAAACATAGCTGTTCTCACGCTCAACATAAGACAAAAAGCGGTGACTTCATTAATTCCAAATATCAGACAATTTAAAAGTCATTTGTGGTGGTCTCTGAAATGCCAGCCATGCAAATTTTGGTAGCTAAATCGCACAATCGTATTTTGTTTAGACTTGTGTTAAAATCACTTTGGATTTCAAAAGCGAACCCTGTTTGGGCAACAAGGGTAATCCAGGCAACTTAAAGAACATAAATCAGAATTTTCAATGTGTAGCAAAAATACACAAAGGATATCATCTATGCAGAGAAAGTGAGGCTACACAGCACATGTGGGAGCTTTACAGGGATGTGAAGTCAAGAGCAAAGATAATTCTATGCTACACGGAATAAATAAATTTGAGATTTCAATGGTGAGAAAGGGTAAGCAAACATTTTATAATTCCATTTTTTAATTTGAAAAGTTCTATATCTACATGACATAAAACTTATAAGAATAAAGGAAGAAAAAGTACTCATACATCAACAGTCCGAATACAATCAGTTATTTTGGATTGTTTCTTATCATCTTTCTTTATACACATTTTTATATACTTGTAATTACAGTATATAGTTTTTATCCTATTTTTCCACATAACAGGTTATCTTTACCATTTTCCTTGTTACACAACCTATATAACCATCATGTATAAACTTTCTCATGTAAGATTTCAAAAGTACAGAAAATTAGAACAAATAGTGTCATGAACCACTACCTAGCCATCACCCAGATGAAACAGTTATTAATTCCTGGCCATCTTACCCACTTCCTTATCTCCCCTGGATTATTCTGAAGCAAATTCCAACATCATACCATTTCATGTGTAAATATTTTCAGTATATAAGCCTCATTTTTTTAATGACTGCAAAATAGCTATTGAGCAGGGGAGAGAACAAAACATACTTAATCACTTCTTCATTGCTGCACATTTGGTTTGTTCTAATTTCTCACTGTTATAAATGACACTGTGATTGACATCTTTTCATATAATTTTTTCCATCATTTGGATACTATTCTTAGAATAGGTTCCCAGACAGGAAACCCACGGGTCGTAGTGTATAAATATTCCAAGTATATTCTTAACTGTGTTATACCAATTTATGAAGCCACTAAAAATGTCCAAGATACTGTACCCTTATCATCGTTAAGTGTTACCGTTAAAAAAACAATGGAATTGAACAGAAGGAGTAATACTCCATTCCTGTCAAGGAAAACGATGTGGAAAGTGGGGCGCCTGGGTGGCTCAGTCAGTTAGGGCGTCTGACTCTTGGTTTCAGCTCAGGTCCTGGGATCCAGCCCTGTGTCAGGCTCCGTGCTCAGCATGGAGTCTGCTTGAGATTCTCTTCTCTGTCCTTCTCCCTCTGCCCCTCCCCCTGCGTGCTCTTTCTCTCTCTCTCTCTCTCTCTAAAATAAATAAATCAATCTTAAAAAAAAATACACATAATGGGGCACCTGGGTGGCTCAGTCGTTAAGCCTTCAGCTCAGGTCATGATCTCCCAGTCCTGGGAGCGAGCCCCACACCAGGTTCCTGGCTCAGCAGGGAGTCCGCTTCTCCCTCTCCCTCTGCCTCTCCTTCTAGTTGTGCTCTCTCTGTCTCTCTCTCAAAATGAATAAAGAAAACCTTAAACACACACACACACACACACACACACACACACACACACACACACAAAACGATGTGGAAAGAGAAAGCCTTGTTTTGATGCCAGGTGGTTATGGAGGGATTTCAACTGCAAGGCATTGTCCATGGGACAGGAGGTTTGTTTGGCTGAGATGAGGAGTGGCTAGGACTCCATGCCCGCTTCTCCTCTGCTCACAGCGTTTTCCTAAGCCCGTGTACCTTCCCCATCTCCTTCCCTAGACCTTGAGGGATAGGTCTGTAAGTTACACATAGTACAACTGCCAGAAAACAACAAGGAAGACTGGTGAATTGGTGAGCATGTGATTTAATACCTCCTTACCATGTGCTCTCTTTTCTGAAGGAGTTCTGCTATCCACTAAGTGGGGGGTGGGAGTCAGTAGGTGCAGATAATATATAAAACAACACGGGGAGCTATGGGTTATAGTGGGAACACAGTGGATTGGCATTCCAGAGAACAAGTTCTAAATCCCCACCTTGTGAACTCTACCTCTGAAACTAATAATACACTATACGTTAAGTAACTGAATTTAAATAAAATAAAATTTAAAAATAAATAAATCTCCACCTTGTTACCATAGTAGGTAGTGTCCAAAGATGGTCATTGATTCTTTTCCTCCGCATACATGCACCCACTCCTCAGATTAAGAGGTAGAATCTACTTGCTCTCCCCTCGAGTCTGAGCTGGCCTTAGTGATTTTGTTTAACCAATATAATGTGGAACTTCCAAGACTAAGTCAAAAGTAGCTTTTGCTGTTCCCTTTTGGGATGACTTGCTCTGGGGACAATCGCTCTTGGAACCCAGGCACTAAGTTGTGAGACGCCCAGGTGACATGAAGAAGCCATGTGGGGGCGCTCTGATTAACAATTCCAGCTGAATTTCCAGCCCACAGCCAGCTCGACTGCTAGCCATGGGTGACAACCATCCCTGGCCAAGCTTTCTGATGACTTCTTTTTTTAAAAAGATTTTATTTATTTATTTGTGAAAAAGAGGCAGGAGTGGGGGAGAGAGAGAGAGAGCACAAGTAGGGGGAGGGTCAGAGGGAGAGGGAGAAGCAGGCTCCCCAGTGAGAGGGCTCCATCCCAGGACCCTGGGATCATGACCTGAGCCGAAGGCAGATGCTTAACCCCCAAGCTTTCTGATGACTTCTGACTACAAAAGCATAACAGATCCCAGATGAGGATGGCCCAATGAGCACAACCAATCACAGGACAGTGACAGATAATAATAACTTGTTCTTTTTCAGCCACTATTATTTTGGAGTGGTGTATTATGCAATAATAGACAAATGGGATAGTTACCAACTAGGTTTTACTTTGACAAATCAGTTTGCCTCTTTGGGTCTCAGTCTCCTAATCGTAAAATAAAGAGAGGAGACCAGAAAATCTCAAAGGTCACTATAAGCTAGGTGATTCTATAACTTCAGTTTTCATCAAGACAGGATCAAAAGAATGATCAATGGTCTATCCAAATTTTTTACTGAAATAACCACAACAAAGTGAGGTTATGTCAGAGGAAGCCAAGCTCCTGATGAGTGACATTTTTAAGGAAGACTAGAAAAAAGTAAATAATCTGCTAATGAAGAAGAGAGAGACATAAAAAAAGAATCATGCACGTTCACACACCTTCCCATTCAAAGAAACAAACATGTACTACTTACTCTTTATCATATTTAACACGTTTAATAACATAAGTCTTCCCATCAATTTTGTGCTTTGCTTTGAAAACCTGACCGTATCCGCCTGAGCCAATAGGTGTTATTTCTGTAAAATCACAAGCAAACCTGAAAAGAGAAATGCCACTGTTATTCTGAGTTCAGTGGTCATGGCCCACCCCCACCCCCACCCAACACTTTCACTTCCCCTTAACGTCGCCGGCACAACGGACTGAATAACAAACATGGCTCTACCCTTCTATATAAGAAGAGTTCACTCCACAGAAACTCTTGAATCACAAAGTCATAGTTTCTCCTGCTCATGCTCCCATTGTAACAAATCACCCTAGTAATGACATTCAACTTCTGGCTGCACAAAAGCCATGATAAAGATGCTTATCTCAAGTGTAAAACTTCAGAAGGAAGCACCATATTTGGTTCCCCAGCTACCACCAAGCTGTCATAAGAGAAATGAGCATGGTCTCTGAGCCTACCTACGTTTGTAACTACCTGGTTTTCCCCTCTCTCTCCTGCCCCACATTCCATCATTAAGCCCTGTCAGTTCTACTCCCCAAACATATCACTGGTGTGTGCCCACTTTTCCCCATCTCCAACATCTTCACACCAGTCCAAGCCCTCGTCAGCCACTACAGAACCGGGCTAGCTCGGACACTCCACTTGCAAGTCTCCTTCCTTTGCTCCAATCCATGAGCCACGCAGCAAGCAGGGTGAAAAACTCTGAGCCTGTCTCTCTGTTGCCTAAACTCTCCAATAGCCTCTTTTTGCTTTCAGCAAACCCCAGAAAGTCCTTAGATGGCCTAAAAGGGGTCTCGTGCTTCCCTCCCCAGCTTGTCTCATGGCACCACACCCTTGCTCACGCACTCCAAGCACACAGCGTCTTCCCCTTGAACGCTCGCATACCGTTCCTACCCTCACTTTCCCACATGTTCTGCTTTTACGAAGCCACAGACCCCACCTCCAGGCGCCCCGACATGGGTGACCCCAGAAAAAGCCTTTGCCTCACCCCTCACACTAACCCCAACAGTCCTATTTCCATTTCTTACCATGTCATTGTTTTCCCTTGAGACCTCTGACCATAGATTGTAATTACAGATTTCTCACATAACTATCATCCCCATAAAACTGTGAGGGCGGAAGCTGTTTCTGTTTGTTCCCACTAAAAATCCGATGCCCCGCACAGTGCCAGGTATATATAAGGTACTTATTAAATGTTTGTTGATTCTTTATTATTTTTTTTTTACAATTGTATTCAATGTCTTCCTGTTGCAAATAGGCTTCACATTTGTTTTAGATATTTTGTTCAAACCCAAACACATAATCTACCACAAGAGGAACCTTTTTTCAATGTGAAATCCGGAATGGAGTTGGAAAATGGAAAACAGGTTCGAGTGGATCTATTCGGATTCCTTCAGGGGTCTTTTTTAAAAAAAATCACTGGTTTACAGAAATATTTACCTTCAATATAAAAACCTCCATGGGTGTCAGAAAAACTCACATTAGTATCACACAGATCTACATTTACCACATTCTGTTTGGATTCATCTAAACATTACCTCTCCAAGAGACAATGATTCTTTGGGAGTCTGACTGTACTAAAAAAATCAACTGTTCAGGGAGAAATAGAATTTAACCTGGCTGATGTACAACAGTCCCTTCAGAAGCTTTTGTCGAACGCACAAACGTATCTTTAAACAGATTTTCTTTTACAAGTTTCCCTCTTACCTGGCGTCCACAGTGTACTTGTTTTCTTTGGTCACAGGAGAGTTAAAGTTAGGTGCCAAACTTCTAAAATTTAAGAGAATATAAAACGCAAATAAAACTCAAATAAAATACAACTTTATGTCATGCGCTAGTTTTTTTATATTTTGAGTCAACTATTAGAATTACAAGGTAGAAAGCGATAACCTTTCTTTATAAAACAATATACTGACAGTTCTCCTCTGTCCACTAATAATTTTTCATTCCTTTCCTGATTCTTTTTTTTTTCTTTGCCTTAACACATTCACTGTTGGTGTGCCACCTCTCCTTTCTTCCCTACAGCCTCAAAACCAAAGGAAATAGATCCCTTGCACCATCATTCTGGTCTTTGTACTTCACTCCTGGCTGGTTGTGAGCCACGTGGCTATTGGAAGTTCAAACCCCGCTGATAACTAAACATATTCCAATTGCTATCTTCCCCCTAAGCCCTCAAGTCTTGAACTTCCTTAACCCCATCAGTGCCCATGATTCCTGTCTGTATCTCCTCCTCCTTTGCTTCTTCGTCACCCAGTTATTGGAACTCTGTTCCCTCAAACCCTGTCCACTCTTCCCATACAGTTTGTCTTGCATATTCTCCTCATCCCTCGTCACTGCCATGATAACCATGGCTGACAGCTGGATCATCTTACACACACACACCTCTCTTCTCTCCACCCAAACACCCACGTCGGGAATCATCCCTCCCTGACACATCTCCTACGGTTCAGAATATATTGGTGGCTCATAATGGCTCCTACTGCCATCGCACCCTCATTGATGACTTACGGTTATGTCCTTGTTTTTCTCTTCCATTTGAGAAACCAACCCACCATCATTTATATAACACTGGATCTTTTGCTCTTCTTACCCAAGTCATTACACCATCCCTACCCTACCTGCCTGTCTGCAAAATAATGCAGTTCTCTGGAAAGTGCCTCTCCAAGTTCACTTCTGTCAACCTCTTCCAAAATAATGCCCTTAACCAATGACTCTAGTGATCCCCACAGGCCCTTTCATCTACGGTGCAGTGTGTACATACATTCAAAGATTTCTCTACATATGTAAAATCATTTCTTTATAGATTTCAAGCTTTTTGGGATCCTTAACCATGCCTTCTACCTCTGAAATTCCACTCAAAGAAGGGTATATAGTACTCTACAAATACTGAAGACTTAGTAAATAAGGTTAACAACCTAAGTGTGAAACAAAACTTCATTTCCAAATACATGCACTGCATAATGATACCCACCTTTTCACCTTCTTTTCACTACTTCTGACATTGCTCTGTAACAAAAGAAAACGAAAAACAATTGTAGATGATTAAATCAATTATCTTGCTGTATCTTGTTCTTCTTCCTCCTGTACTTCTAGATGGTTCTGTGACATTTTTTTTGGTCCATTAGATGAACAGCCTCATCAAGTTGTGTACTCCCATCAAGCCCTGCTTCTCAGTTTACTTGGCTAGATCAATGTTGTCATCTATTCTAGCAACCAGACAGATAAGGCAGGAAGGACAAAAAAGCAATCGGGGCAAGTTCAGCAGAAGCACTGGGTCTCAACAAGAAGGCATGCATCACAGTTCTCCACAGTGCTAAAGACACAGATGGAGCTCAGGGATCCAGTCTAAAATAATTCCCCAAGTGTTTCTTATCTGGTAACCAGCTAAAAATGGCAATGCTAAAAAAAAAAAAAAAAAGAAAAAGAAAAAATGACAATACTAATAATTTCATTTTTAGCACAAATTAATTTAATTTTAATATTTAGCAAAAAAAGAGGAATCTTCACTATATCTCAAAAGTAAATTTCACATAGCTATTCTTTATTCATATTCACTTTTATTCTGGTAGGTTTTGTAGTATTATCAATTTGGACACCAAGCAGGGAGCATCAAACTAAGAGTTTTTGAGCTCATACCACTTCCCACTGTATGATGACTGTAGTATATTAATTTAGCCATTCTATCAAATGACAATGTTTCTTAAGTCTCTTCCTGTTACAAATGAGGTTGCAAGAACACACTTACATATGTTTCTCTGTACATACATAGAAGTGCTTCTCTAGTAGACATCCCCAGGAATGGAACTGCTTGAAGGCATGGCGTGCACACCCTCCACTTTGCTACATATTGCCAAACTGTCTCCACAATGGTTGTACCAACTTATACTTCCACCCGCAGCATGTAGTAGTTATAATCAGAATACAGCTGTGCCGATGCTTAGTATTGCCAGACTCAAATTTTGCCATGGTGATGGGTTTAAAAAAGGTACCTAACTGTTGTTTTGATTTGCATTTTCCCTACTACATGCAGCAAAGCATCTTTTCATATTTTTGTTGCCTATTTGGGTATCTCTTCTCTGAATTGTCTGTTCAGATCTTCTGTACATTTTTCTGAGTTGCTTTTCTTTTTCTTATTGATTTGTTTACAGTTCGTTATAAACAGGGCACTTATGTAACACTAATTGTCACCACAAAAATTATCTGATTTTTAAGTTTAGTTCTGATGTTTTAAAACAGGAGCAGACTATATTAATGGACATTTTAAGTAGTGTCCAACTGATAGAAGATAAGCAAGATCACAGGAATATATTAAAACTTGAAGGTGAGTACGGATAGGAAAATGGGAGTGAAGAGTGGAAGAATTTTGCAAGTGAGGAACAGGGGTTAATAAAGAAAGGAGAAAGCCAAAATGCTGCCACATATTAATATGAAATAAGAATGCATGAGATAAAAGTAGAAAAATTATGGTTGAGTACTGAGGCAATTTTTAAATGAAGAAACACACAGAGAAAAAGATCATCGGGAAGCTAGAGGCTAATACTATACCAGAGGAGATGAAGAATTGTTTACACTGTTGCTGTTACAATTTCCTTCTGGTGCACTTGGTGAGAAATCATTTTCAAGTGGGGATTTAGAAGCACTAGAAGAAAAGGGGATAATTATTAGTTTGTGAATTCTGCCTATTTTTTGTTGATCAGAATTTCTTTCTCTAAATTCTCCTTAAACATTAAACATTTTCATAAAAATGTGCTCTCAGGCAGCAATCTGAATTTGTTAAATTATCACAGTTGTTTGTCCACACTTACGATATGCTTCTCACCGAAGTGTTGTTTCCCAAGTCACTAGGTGAAGTAGTCCAAGAATCACTTGATTCTTCATCTTTCTGAAGGAGGGAGTCATCTTTCTGAAAGGAAGAGTAACCCTTAGGGGTTTTAAGAGCAATTACATTACTTCTCCATACTGGCTCAGTCTCTGTGTGCTAACTACCACATTTATTTATGGATGTTTGATCTGGATTTAAAAAACCACCCTGGGGGCACCTGAGTGGCTCAGTTGGTTAAGTGTCTGCTTTCAGCTCAGGTCATGATTTCAAGGTCCTGTGATCAAGCCCCACATCAGGCTCCCTGCTCAGCGGGGAGTCTGCTTCTTCCTCTCCCCCTCTTTCTGCCCCTCCCCCGAACTCATACACTCTCTCTCTCTCTCTCTCTCTCTCAAATAAATAAAATCTTAAAAAAAAAACAAAAACCAACAATCCTGAGTTGTGAACAGAATTTTGCTCTCTGGGGCCTCATGGCCCCATGGCTCATGGCTCACTGGTGAAACACAGAACGGAGGAATCCCTTTGCTATGTGATTAGTTGTCTTGGCATCATCTAAACACAGTCTTACCTCAAATCAACCTCAGAAAGGATCTTAAAATTTAGAAGTGAAATCCAAAGGCATTTCATACCATTAAGGTTTTCTCTGATTGTATCTGCTCATGTGCAAATTTCGCAGCCATCTGTTTTGCCTCCTGTTTGGTAGCACCTCCACCAACAGCATATTCTTTCTGCCCAATTTTGCATCTATAGTAAAATCTGGGAGAAATGATAGAGAGTATTTACCCAAATGCCAAAAAAACAGTAAATCTAACTTAGGATTTGGAAACAAACACAGATGAACAAAGACCTTAATATAACCCTAATTTAATGGGTACGTTTAGTTTGTATCTTGTAGAAGAGAAATGGTAAGATGGCTGACCAATTTGCCAGAATAACCAGGATAGCTTGATGTCATCAGCTTGCATTTGTGGTTAGGCAAGGGGCCTCGGACAATTATATGAGAACTCTACTGAATGTGGAAAAGCAATGGACATGGTAAGTACCAGGGAGTTACTATGCATTAATTCAAAATTATTACAGTATTATTTGCCATGGAGGCAAATACACTCAAACAGGGTTGAGTCTTCCCTGCTGGGCCCTGAAGGCAGAATTACACTGAGTGGCTGGGTGGTTTCTACAGCTCCTATTCTCCCGGGCACCCCTAAGTAGACTTCTCTCTTTTAGGTAACTTATGTTAGAGTGTTTAATCCCAAGGAACCAAACAGGTAAGCTACGAAAAAATAGCCTCCTACTTTTTTGAGATCGACTCACACAATTCACTTTGGACTATTTCATGCCAATGAATACTCTTCTGTTTTCCTCTTCCTGGTTCTGGCCTAAAAGCCATCAGAGTTAAAAAGTCCATAACTGAGTCAATTCAGAGGACAGTATCCTGAAGCGGTCATTTGGACTATTCGCCATTTAGATTTTTCTCTCTCTCTCTCATTCAATGGGTTGGTTGTAGCCAGGAAACAATCTCCTTCAGGCTCATTTATTTCTGCTTTTCCCAGTTCCTATCCATTCCTATCTTCACTTCCAAAATCTTGGCAACTCTGAAGCTCTACTCCATCCCATCCTTTATAATCCTTAAATCCGGGTCTCCTCACAGCCTATGGCTAAAACCCATTTCTTTTAAGACCTGGTATTTGTCTAGAGAGTGACACCATTTTACCGAATTTGAAGGACAAACACCTAGACAAACGGTTCTCTAACCTGATGATGGTGAAGAGAGAGTCATTTCACCTACGCAGTGGTCTAGTCATTGTCATACAGCGACTCCCACTGTGATCTGTGGGAGGGAAACTCCACACACACACACACCCCCAGCAGGGACACCCCATTCTCTCTTAGGTCTCCTGCAGACTAAACCATCCAGATACACCTCAGAAATAAAGGATTCACCAGATTTGATCCACTATGGTATATGGGTCCCAAGTCTTCAGCAATTAAGCATTTTCATATTTTAATTATGAAGATGACCAGTTGTGTGTAAGTCATATAAAACCTTCCATGCAAAAGGTCCCCAAAAGGAGGACAAATATTTCTAGAAAATTAGACATGAAAACAAGCCCGTTCTATTACTTAGATACAATGAAATAGAAGGAAAAGCTGAACTACATCTCACCTTTCTGGCCCATATTCTTTCGATTCACATGGTTCATAATTTACAGATAGTTTTTCCTTCTGGGCAAGCCTATTCATACGGCCTATGAAATTCTCAATGGATCCTACGCCTAATCCTTCTGAAGAATCTGTTGTTGTCAGTGATAAAGAACTAACTGCCTACAAGGGAAAAAAAAATCTTGTTTAATACAGATGAAAACAAAGATTTAACTATTTTATTTCCTCTAATAAAATTACTAAATGAATAATTTGAAAGACAACTTAGATTTTATGTATTGCCCTAGTCTACTACCTTGAGTAAAAGTCTAAGTATATATCTTTTTCTACCATAAAAAATCCACAAGAGAAAAGGTTAACAATAGGAAAGGAACCATCCTTTTATAGTTTCCTACAGAAAAACAAAATAGTGAACTTTCTTGTTTATCCATGCAAAATACTCTAACACTGTCTAGCTCACTCTACACTTTGTAAATCTCAAAAAACGAGATTACCAATACTGAAGTAGAGCTACATCCTGGATCACACCTTATGGGGAAAGAGGAATATAACAGCACCATTCCTTCCATTCTTATCTGTACCTTTTTCCTAATCTGGCAAAAGCGTGTCCAAAGTTTTTCTACTTTATTGATCTTGTCAGAACTAACTTTTGGTTTTATCGACCTTTTTTATTGTTTCTTAGTTTTCTTTTACATTAATGTTTGGCCTTGTTATTATTTTCTGTCTTCTGCTTTTTTGGGGAAAGGTATTCTACTGTTCTTTTCCTAACTTCTTGACTTGATTTTCTGGCTCCTTAACAATTCGTGAGTTTGCAATTTTGCCTGATTTACTTTTCCCGATTTGGGTTACGGGGGTGATATCACCGAGGAAGATTTTTCAGGAAAGTATCTTGAAAGTCAATGTTTTCAAAATTTTCGATATCTGAGAAACAATCCTCTTTGGTCCCACATGTAAATGACTGCTTGTCTCATCTTACGGCCACTTCTCTGCTATCCCGTGGTTTAAAACGAGGCTGTAGACAGCACAATTTTTTTTTTCATTTTTACATTTTAAATAATTTCCTCTTTCTGCCTCAATGCTCATAGGATTTTTTCATCATCCCTAGAGCTCAGGACTTTCCCACTGCTCGATGTTCTTGGTGGCTCTGTGTTTTTCTCTGTCTGTGGAGTTGCTTTCATCTGCATCAAGGTCTTCCTTTGCTTCAGAAACACTTTCAACTGGAATCTCTTTGGATAGTTTTCCCTGTCCTCTTTACTCTGTTCTCAGCCTCCAGGACACCAGTTCCACGGATGCTGGGTTTCCATCACCTGTCCTGCTCATCTGTCGTCCTCCCCATGGTCCCTCCATCTCTTTGTCCTTTGTCCTTCCTCCCCACCGTCCTTCCATCCCTCAGTCGGGTGGAGGGACCCCTGCCAGAACTCATCAGCTCATTTCTGTTTCCTTTCCCATTCACTCAACTTCAGAGGTGGTCTCTACTGCTGGCACTCTAAACGGGTATCGGCAGGCTGTGCCCACTCCTTCTTAGATGAACCTCTGACTCAGGGCTCTACAGAAACGGAGATGGAGGAAAAAGACTGTACTTCTGAACGGGAAAGAACCTGCGAACGGCTTTACTCTGTCTGTGGGTGTTCACTCACAGAGTAAAGTTAAAAAGGGCATTAACTCACCTTGCTTTCTCTATTAAGTTTTTCAATGGCCAATTTGGCTGCAGCATTTTTGGCCTCCTTCTTTGATTTACCTTCCGCTTCTGAATATTTTCTCTCATTTATGGTAACTTGAAATGTAAACCTGATTACAAAGACAATATTCACAAAATGTTATCAAATCCATGCATTGTCTAAGGACAAGTGTTCCAGTCACACTGCCTCCTGTGACTGACTACCTGGACGGTTTTAACCGGCTCGGTATAGAATATAAGCAGTCACCCTCAAACAGCAAAACAGCACATCATCTTCACTCTAGAGCTAACTTATTGACTTCCAAACTGTGCCAGAGTTGCCATCATTCTTCTAATTCATATTTTATAGAGATATAACTGTAAAAAAAAAAAACCCCAGCAATTTGGGGTGCCTGGTTGGCTCAGTTACTAGAGCATGCAATTCTTGATCTCGCGGTTGTAAGTTCGAGCCCTACATTAGGTGGAGCAGTTATTTTAACAAAATCTTTTTAAAAAATAGCAATTTACTTTAAGTTATGTGCAGGTCCTTCCTTAGACAGTTCATAATACCTAAGTACCAAGCTGTGCTTCTGACAGTATGTATTAAGTTCTTCTATAAAAAAACTTGGTGGACGCTCATTGGCCATTTCTTCTAGTAACCTAGAACAGAAGAGATATTTGGAAAAAGTGAGACAGAACATATTTAACCTGATTACCCCAGTCCAGTGTAGGAGACGAAACAGGGTAAGAAGAATCTTCTCTATAAGACTCATCTCAGCCCCACACAAATCCAGAGGAAACTTTCTTACAAAATCTTCTTCTCTCATGATCTGCACACCAAGCTACTTTGTCCAAAACTTTCTACGTTCAAAACTCAGCTGGCCAAAAAAGGAAAAGGATCTTTCTCTTCCACTCTGCTCTCTGCTTCCAGTGAGCGTCAGGGACAGGTTTATCCACCTGCTTGAACTACACAAGTAGAATCAGAACTCTTCATGTTGAGAAGAAAAAGGTTGAGAGTACATACGTAAAGTGAAGTTTATGAAATCATTAAAGATTTCACCATACAGAAACAGATTCCCCTATGAAATCCCAAAAATCCTACCTTTAAAGTTTGCATTAGTCAATTACAGATAAATTTACCTGGGTAAATTATGACCCCAGTTTATGGGTCTCATTAGACCAAGAGAGTAGCAATGATTTAAGTCATAATGAAAATCTAAAAAATATAGAATCTAAATATAGGAGCCAAAACTATAAAACTCTTAGAAGAAAACATAAGGGTAAATCTTCAGAATCTTGGATTTGGCAATGGAATCTTTGTGATGAAGGGCAAAAGAAAAAAGATAGATTGGGCTTTATCACAAGCAAAAACAGGGGCACCTGTCTGGCTCAGGTGGTTAAGCATCTGCCTTCAGCTCAGGTCATGATCCCAGTATCCTGGGATCTCCGCTCTCTCTCTCTCTCAAATAAATAAATAAATAAAATCTTTTTTTAAAAAAAGTAAAAACATTTGTGTCACACAGGACGCTATGAAGAAAATGAAAATCTACAGAATGGGATATCTATAATTCATATATCTGATAAGAGTCCAGGACCCAGAATATATAAAGAACTTTTACAACTCAACAACAAAAAGACAACTCAATTAAAAAATTGGCAAAGGACCTGAACAGACATTTTTTCTAAATAATCTAGTGCCCCAGGGCCCTGTCCTTAGATCTCCTCTCTGGTCTAACACCCACTCCCCTCTAGATCGCCTCTAGACTTATGGCTTTAAATTCCACCTACATATACAATGATGGTTATCAAAAGAACACCTCTACCCCTGACTATCTCCTGACTCTAACTGCTTCTGTCCAATAGGCTGCCTCCTTGAAATGCTCTTGACGCTACCCCATCCACTGTCTTCGCCTGGTCAACTCTTATTTCCTATAGATTTCAGCTCAGATGTCACTTTCCAGACACCCTTGAAGAGGTCCTGGTTCGGTGCTCCACAACAGCTCTTGTCCCCTTTCCTGCAATTGCTTTAAATAACTGACTGTCTTCCAAAGGAGACCATGAACTACAAGAGGGACGGGGCCAGCCTGTTATAATAGGGGCTCCATAATCAATGAATGAATACCAAAATATCTGTAGACCTCCCCCACCTGCATGACTTGTCACATGCTTTTCTCTTTGCTTTGAAAGCAATATCTGCACCCTCCGTCCACCAGGCAACTCCCACTCATCTGTGAGGCTCACACGTTTTCTTTGATGTTGGAGGGGCAGCCAGTCCTCCTCCAAGGGCCCGCCACTCCACCTTGCCCAGCTCCCATAACAGCCCAGTCAGTGAGCAATTTGGGAAGCAGGTTCTATGTCTTACTCATTTTGTATCACCAATACCCAGTGGCAAGTAGTAAATGCCAAACACTTGGGTGGTCTATAGGAAAATGAAAGAATGACTCATTAAAATGAAATACTCTACTTGAAACCCCCTCGTCTTCTCCCTTTGCTTCATCTGCTGTTTTCCGTGCATCTTTTCTTCATTTATTCAATAAATGCTTAGCAAGTACCAGGCACTATTCTGACAATGAGTATACAGATGTGGACAGGATAAATTCACACCCAACCTGCACTCCACTGAGGGAAGACAGAAAATGACCATGCACAGAAACAGATAACAGGAACAGACAATATGATGACCAGATGGCTGGAAGTGCTATAATGAAATTAAATAGGGATGCAGCATAGAGGGTGAGTTGGTAGATAGGGGCAGAGCTAAGGGGGAGGCAGTTTTAGACATAGTGGTCACAAAAGACCTTTCTTAGGAGGCAATTTTAAATGCAGACTGAATGATGAGAAAGTCCATCATATCAAGATATGGGGGAAGGGTATCTCAGGAACCAGCATGGCCTTTGAAAGGATAACAAAAAGATCAAGGGGACTGCTGCACAGTGAGTGAGGGGAAAAGAGTAGGAAATGAGTCAGAGAGGTCAGCATCATGCACATAGACCTTGTAGGTCATGGTCGGAACCGGTGGATGGTGTTCCAATTGCAATAGGAAGTTACCGGACATTCTCTAAGTAGAGGGGGGATGTGATTGGATTTATGTTTTAAGTGATGACTCTGATACTATGTAAAGAACAGGGTCTGGGGGCAGGGACAGGTGTGGGCAGTGCGCAGAGCATGAGCAGAAGCAAGGAGACCAAGCAAGGATGCTGCCATGGTTTGGGTGAGCAATGATGGCGGCTGGAAGCACGTGGTGGGAGTATCTAGAATGTGAGCAAAGGCAAAGCCGTCAGGTTACTGCTTAGTGTCGTGGAGACAATCAAGCTTTAGAGGCCACATTGCTCTGAGCTACACCGTCTCTGAACCTTTCATCTGTGACCTGAAGACAGGAATAAAAACACGTGATTCAGAGGTGGCTGTGGGGAATAAACCAGATGAAGAGCACCCAGCAGAGTCCCCCACACCGTTAACCCTCAATAAATGGTGCTCCTGGTCTGCAATTCTGAAACCCAAAACGCACTAAAAACTGAGGTTCATTTTGTTTTCATTTGTTTTGTTTTTGATAGGTTTCTAGCCCCCTGTCTAGACCTGAGCTGACATGAGCTATTTATAGTCTTTATGATACTTTGTTGTCCACCTATACATTTCACTACAGAAATTGTTTTATTATAGAGGGCTGCCCCCAAATCCTGCTGAGAGCATTCTATAATAGACAGGATTTATGCTGTCTTACCTTTCTAAAATCCCAAACTCTTGGAATACCAGAACATGCCCAAGGGTGTTTGATAAGGATCTGTAGCTGTACCATTATTTTTATTATTTTTAAGATTTTTTTATTTATTTATTTGAGAGAGAGAGAATGAGAGATAGAGAGCACGAGAGGGAAGAGGGTCAGAGGGAGAAGCAGACTCCCTGCTGAGCAGGGAGCCCGATGCGGGACTCGATCCCAGGACTCCAGGATCATGACCTGAGCCAAAGGCAGTCGCTTAACCAACTGAGCCACCCAGGCACCCTGTACCATTATTTTTAGGAACCAGTGTCATTTACTTTAGTTACAACCATGAGACCAGACATCAGATTGGGAGGGGATCACAGATATCAAAAGAGCAGTTACGGAAGAGCCCTTAGCAATTAGAACCTGAAGTTCTATCAACTACTCTAAACCCTTGGCGCTTTTAATGTTTTGTTTTGTTTTGTTTTGTTTTTTGGCGCTTTTAATGTTAAGTAACCGCCACTCATCAGAATGACAAGCCAGTTCGAATTTAAGTGACCTATACGTGCAAACTAAGAATGTGCTGAATTAACATGTTTGAAAAAGTACTTACAAGTCTGGAAAAAAGAAACAGCAGGCTTCTCTTCAACTACTGTCAATAAATCTTGTTTTGATTCTATGTTATCATTTTCCTAAAGGAAATCTCCAGCAAAAATCACTATCGGAGGTTATGTGTCCATCTTCCTCATCTTACTTGTTCCTTCTGGCAGACTCTGAACTCCCTGTGGACCCAGCCCCTTCCAGGTCCTGCAAAATGCTTAGCTATTACTATTACTATTACTATTCACTAAACATATATTTAAAGAAGCCCTATTACTATTAGGTGCTGGGGTGACACCAGAGCACGAAACCCTGCTCTTGTGAACTTACTAGCGGAGGAACACAGACAAATCCATAAAACAATGTCACAGGCTGATAACTATGTTGAAAACTGAAGCAGAGTAAGGGGGAGACAGTTAGGGAAGGGCGGGGTTTCTTTTACATAGCTGGTTGTTCAGAGAAGGCTGCTCTGATGAGATGACATTGCAAGAAGTACAGGGTAAAGCAAAAGAATGACCCATGCAGGCATCTGGGGGAAGAGCTTTCCAGGAAGGGGAAACAGGCGTGCAAAGGCCCAGAGGCAGGCATGTGCTTGCCTGCCTCCCAAAACAGCAATGAGCTCTGTCTGGTCGCAGTGGAGAGAGCAAGGGGCTTTGTCGGCGCCATTTACTGAATTTTTTAAAAAAGATTTATTTATGTATTTGAGAGAGAGCGCGAGAGAGCTGAGGCTGTGGGCAGAGGGAGAAAGCGAATCTCGAGCAGGCTCCCTGCTGAACACCGAGCCCTGCGTGGCGGGAGGCGGGGAGGCTCCGGATGGCTGGAGGCTGTGCTCCAGCTCACGACCCCCAGATCAAGACCTGAGAGGAATCAAGAGTCCGCGGCTTAACCGAGCCACCCAGGGGCCACCACTGACGGAATTCTCAGGAGATGGTGAGCTATCGGGATGATCCGAGAAAAGGAGTGTCCTGTTCTGACTTAAAGGACCCCCTCCTCAGCTGCAGAGTTGAGAAAAGATATGGGGGACAGGGTGGTACGGAGTTGGGGCGGGGGTGAGGGGTGGGGTGGGGTGGGCTAAAAGGCCCGGCCATGGAGAAACAATTGCAACTATGTAGGCAGGAGATGTTCAGCCAGGGCCTATTTAGCCAATCTATGGCAAATCCAGGCCTCCATATTTCCCATCTGTCATATTTCCCAACTTACCGTTTTCCGCTAGATTCCCCGCCACCCCGCCACCCCGCCACCCAGTCACTCCGGCCGAGGAAATTCGTTACTTGCTCTTATAGAGACTCTTGAGGGAGGGGGAGAATGACTTTCAGTCCCCAGCGCGCTGCGCGATCGTTTCCCGGGCTCCGGGCCTCGGACAGCGCTCCCGCGCGGCCGGGCTAGACGTCGGGGGCCTCTCACCAGCGTCCACGTCCCGAACCCGGACTCGCCCTTCGCTGCGCCCGCGCCGCCCCCTACCTGCACCCCAGATCCCCCCGCGCTCCCCGGACGCCCGGAGCCCCGCTCACCCCGCACCGCAGCCGCCGACTACCGCCCGCAGGATCTCGGCCGCTCGCTCTCGCTTTCGTTTTCCCCGCGGGCTCCGCCTTCCGCGGCGGCCGCCCGGCGCTCTCCCGCTCCTGGAGCGCAGGAAGCTGGAGCCTCCCTCCGCGTCCGCGCCGGGCGCACTGCCACCCACGTGGCGCCCCTTGGCCGCCAGGCGCGCAAGGACCCTGCGGGGGCACCCCCTTCCTCTCCGCCCCTCCGCCACCCCGGCTCCCGCGTCTGCTTATGCCACGCCCCGGTGCGCGAGAAGGGTCAGCAGGGAGGAAGGGAGTACACCGAGGTCCCCCAGCAGCGGCGGTCGGCCAAGGAGGATATTATCCGCTCCATTTCATGAACGAAAAAAAACAGTAAATTAACCCGCACAGAGTCCTGCTGCTAAGTGGCAAAGCCAGGATTCAACTCAAGGTCAGGCCCGTAAATACCAAAGTACTCCGTCCCCTTTTCACTCTGCTACCTCCTCACCTTTACAAGGCCGGGGGGGGGGGGGGGGTGAAGAGCCCTGGGGACCTAGCCTTCCCTCAGTCAGTTTCCACCCATCCATCCATTCATTCAACAGGTCCTTGTCTTCGCCGTTGTAAGCACCAGCCAGTCCAGCCATGAGGAGAGCCACCTACCTGCTCCCTGTGGGACCTCGTGGAGTTTTCCTACCAAAGCCCCACTAAGTAGTCCTCTATTTATAAGAAACAGACGCGGTGATTGAGGCGTGCTGAAGACTTAAAACAATACTGACAAGTAGGTGCCATTACTATGCCTATTTAACAGATGAGAAAACTGAGGTCTGAGGCACAGAGAAGCAATTCAGTCAGTAAGCAGGAGAACTGGGATTAGAACCAGAAGTCTGTACCCTCAGCATCTTAGCTAGAGTGGGGAGTGAGGTGGTGCCAAGATGGACCTCGCATATACATTCAGTATTCGGCATTGGCTCTAGGAGTTCCTCCCCACTTCTCTCCTACATCCTTCTGGAATTTCAGGGTATCAGTGGCTAAACACTATATTTTCTTTATAGCTTATGTCCTGGGCATGATTTAAATTCCACAAATGTGAAGTACTGGTGGAAGATTTGTAAGGTAGATAGGAGGCAGAGCCATCTTTCTGGGGCATTTCCAGATGACAAAAAGCTCCAGCAATGGCAGGAATTTGCATGAGACCATTTGCCAGTCTTGTGGGTGTGTGGTGGCTGTGGCAGCATCAGCAGCAGTAACAGTGACAAATTGTCGTTTAAAGAAAGGAAAGGACAAGCTTCTGTCGACCCACATCACTGAGCTCGTGGGGAGTTCCCTGTGACCAGGTGACTGAGAAAGGAAAAGTTGCATGAAGCACAGTACACTGGCATTAATCAGAAGTGGATTGAGTTAGGGGCGCCTGGGTGGCTCGGTCGTTAAGCGTCTGCCTTCGGCTCAGGTCATGAATCCAGGGTCCTGGGATCGAGCCCCGCATCAGGCTCCCTGCTTGGCGGGAAGCCTGCTCTCCCTGTCCCTCTCCCACTCCCCCTGCTTGTGTTCCCTCTCGTTGTGTCTCTGTCAAATAAATAAATAAAATCTTTAAAAAAAAAAAAGTGGATTGGTGTTCTACAACAGCCCTTCTGGGAGGTGGCCCTGAAAGATAGCGGGAGAAAGGAAATCCTGCCCGTGGACACAACTTTGAGCAGTACCTTTAGTTGTCACGTGGAAAGGGAGAAAGCTGGTGGCTTGGATAGAACCAGTGTCTAGCAGGTTAGCTGGATCGTCAGAGGTTTGGAAGGAACAAGATCAAAGGATTCGTGATAAGGTGGCCTGGGGAAAACGATGTGGGTGAACCAGTTAGACACAGAGTATGAGCATATTGTGAATGTTCATCAAAGGCATCCTTTTCTGAGGAGGGTTTTGAGAAGCAGGTGGTCAGGAAGACTTCTGTAGACGTCAGTCAGTCTTTTCCCCAGCCACGCCGGGTGCTTGTTCAAGGAATGAGGAGACTGTGGCAGTAGGAACATATGATATGTGTGAGTTCATCAACATGAAATTCTCATCAAGGCTGATCTGGCTGCTGAGCACCCAATATCTCACATCAGGGACCAACTCTGGGCCCCAGTGGAGAGGACCATACGCCAAGGGAGACCAGCCAGCCACTTTGTGGCAGACAAGGAACGCCAGGACCTTTCATCACCATGTGGGCAGGAATTTGCCCTCTGGGGGGTGAACCTTTATTGCAGATATGGATTCAGTTTTCCTTCCTGCAATGCTTCTGCCAGCATCATTGTTGGACATTCTGAATACCTTGCTCACCATCATCATATCCCTCACTAAGAAACCCATTTTACAGAAAAAGAAGTGACTGCCATAGGATTCAATGACTTTATTCTGAACCTCATTACCCCAAGCAGCTGGCCATATTGGGCAGTAGGGTGGAGTAATGAAGACTCAGGTGCAGCCCCAAGTAGGAGACAGCACTTAGCAAGCTGGGTGTGCTGCCCTTCATGGGCAGTTATGTTCTAAACCAAATTGCTGGGTTTTTTTTTCATGGCCAGGACACATGAACTCAGGGAATAGTAAAAGTGAGAGGGTTGTGTCCCAAAATTAAACCTAGTTAGGGGCACCTGGGTGGCTCAATCAGTTAGGCATCTGCCTTTGGCTTAGATCATAATCTCAGGGTCCTGGGATCAGCCAGTGTTGGGCTCCCTGCTCAGCAGGGAGTCTGCTTCTCTCTCTCCCTCTTCCCCCAGCTTGTGCACCTGCCCACACACTCTCTCTCTTTCAAATAAATAAATAAAATCTTTTAAAAAATAAAATAAAAAAATAAACCTGGTTATGCACTTGCAAAATAGTGTTTCCTATTCCTATGACATTGGGCTGTGTTTCCACTAGGGGACACATAATTCTTTGAATAGGAATTTGAAACTCTATCTGGATATTGCCATCAGGCCAGCAAGGAAATAAGGGGGTTACTGAATTGGCTGGGGGATTGAGAAAGGAAAACAGTGATGCAGCCACACCACAGAGTCAGGGTCAAGCATGTCTTCAACCCAGGAGTTCCTCCAAAGTTGCTTCTAGTAATTTCCTGTTCAGTGTTACATGTTAATGGAAATCTATAGCTGTTCAACAAGGAAGGACTGTTTGGGGCTCAAATCCTTCAGGATTGAAGGTTTGTGTCACCCTACTGGCTGGGAATATTTCTGAGGGCAAAGAGAACAATGAATAAGGAAGTAATAAACACCATCTATGGTTTCATTTCCTGTTGCAGAATAAAGGACTGTAGAAGCTACACATTTTTCTTCTTTGCTTTGTTTTTTTTTAGGTATTAATGAACTTCTTTTAATTGCTTTACCTTTTCCTTTTATATGAGATTTGCTGCTGGTGGTGAATTTTATAAAATGGTCTTTAAGTTAGAGTGTCTTAAGGTGGAATTTGTGCCTAAAAGAGAAAAGGAAGGAACATCACATAGCATTGGGTGTAAAGATTCAGGGGATAGGATAAGCATGTTTTCGTTTGAAGGAGGGAACAGCAGCATTAGGTGGGAACAGAGTTCTGTTGTTGGCTTGAAAGATTATTAGTGGAAGCTGTGGGCTGCACTAGATATTGTTAATTTTTATTTAGCTTCCATTCTCACTACCTTCTATGTCTCCCTATCCCCTGGGTTATAATGTATGGAAGGTTAAAATCACATTTTCCAGATTTCTACGGAGTTAAAATTCTGCACATAATTTTAGTTCTGCCGATGACTGATGAACAGTGGTGCTGGAAGATGGAGGGGAGGAAAAGACCGCCCTTCTGTGGCAGAACGAGCTGACAAGCAAGCACCTGTGCTCAGTGGTGTATACAGAAAGTGGACTCCAGGTGCCCTTGTCAGTGCTCCGAGGGCATGGGGCATCTGTGGTGGCAGAACTCTGGATGGCAGATACAGTGGAAGTCTCCATTCTGCCATCCCTTCCAACACATACACATTCATTTCCTACTAAATCATTACGCTCGACATTCTTACAGTGGTTTCTGTTTCCGGTACTGCACCAGGAGAAACCTCCCTGGACACGGAGCCTACACTGAGAGTAGAGTTGAGAAGTGAAGATTAGGAATCAGGTCCTTGTCTGAGCTCTGCATCAAGCCTCACCTGAACCAGACACATCCTAGACCAGTCTGTTAAAAGAAGGGCAGTGCAGTCAATTAAGTGGCTGACTCTTGATTCTGGCTTGGGTCATGCTCTCAGGGTCGTGGGGTTGAGCTCTGTGTCAGGCTTTGAGCTCAGCAGGGAGTCTGTCTAAGATTCTCTCTCCCTCTCCTTCCTGTCCCTGCCCTCCCCCGCCCCGTGCTCGCTCTCTCTTAAATAAATAAATAAAATCTTTTTTAAAAAATGAGAGGGGCACCTGGGTGGGTCAGTCGGTTGGGCATCTGGCTCTTGGTCTCAGCTCTGGTCATGATCTCATGGGTCATGAGATCCAGTGGTGAGGGCCTCCGTGCTCAGCTCAGCAGGAAGTCTGCTTGAGATTCTCTCTTCCCCCCTCTCTTCGCCCCTCCCCCCTCTCCAAAATAAACAAATAAATCTTTTTTTTTTCCATGAGAGTAGTCATTTATTAACTGACCAGATTACAAAAATAATCATGGCAGATACCTTAGTTCATCCTTCTAATAAGCCTATTGATCTGGTCTTCCCTGTTACCAGCATCTCCATCTTCTACAAAATGGGTGGTCTTTTTCTTCATTCCCCCTCGTGGAGAAGATAATTTGAAGGGCCATAAAAAGTTGTTTGCTTCTTTGAAACGTTTTCCAACAGTATAGATCTCGTGAATCAGATCCTCCATGCAGATGATGCCATATTTACCAAGAGATCGGGCAATCAATGTGTTATCTGTCAGGGCAATTCGCTTCTTGTTGATTTTGCCATAACCACGCGTGTAGATCAATTCATTCACCGACTTCAGATTTGGGTACCCCCATGCTACATAAGGTTCCACAATCCTTAGCATGTTAACTGAAGCCTTGTTGAGCTTAACAAAGGTGCCATTGAAGATCTGGCGAAGGCGAAGAAGCTGCAACACCTTTCGAACCTTTGGGCTCACACCATTGATACCTCTGATCCTGATGACAAATGCCAATTTGGGTTCTGCAGAGGTTGCCAGCTTTTCTTGCCATCCTTGCCATTCGAATCTCAGTGCTGTACATCTGCCTATATTCCTTGTGGTAATGCCTAGCTTTTTCATAGATAAGCTTCCTTCTTGCCTTTCGAAGCATCTTCTGAGCAAACTTCTTCCTCAGACGCTTGATCTTCAACTCTGCGAAATTCCTTCGCTTCTTCTTAAGGGTTTCTGGCACAGCAGGAACCTTCTTTTTCTTCTCTTCTGCACCCTCTATGGTTCCAGCCGGAAAAGAGGAAAAATCTTTTTTTTTTTTAAAAGAAATTTCATTTCTATTTAAACACTTAAGGACATAGTATGGTTTTTGCCCAACATCACATTTCCAGTACAGTGCTGCACATAGTAGGCACTCAATAAAGATTTATTGAATAAATTAGTGAATGAAGTGACTTTTTTACCAAGAAGTGGTTTTTAGAATATTAGATCAGTTAGGATGCTTTTGATGTAATAAACACAAAATCAAACACAAATTGGTTTACAGTAGAAAGCAGAGGAAGAGAGGATTCTTTTTTTTTTAAGATTTTATTTATTTATTTGACAGAGAGAGAGAGCACAAGCAGGGGGAGTGGCAGGCTGAGGCAGAGGGAGAAGCAGGCTCCCCGCTGAGCAGGGAGCCCGATGCGGGGCTCGATCCCAGGACCCTGGGATCATGACCTGAGCCGAAGGCAGATGCTTAACCGACTGAGCCACCCAGGTGCCCTCATGAACTAAAAGAATTTTTAAGAATTTTTAAGAATTTTTATCCAGTCTTTCTTGGTGTTCTGAAGGAAGGGTTTTTAGTTTATGTCATCCACAATACTACCAGAAATAGTAGCCCTGCAGTCTTTCTCAAAGCAATTTTATCTAACTTCTATGAACCATTCTATTCTTAACTGTAAAGAAGTAAAGACGTAAAGATTAAGGATTGTTAAAAGGTTTTTTTCCAGAACATGCTTTACCTTCTCTTGTAAATTCCACATGACTACCTGGGCCTCTGTGGTAGAAAAGCCTTTATGCCACAATAACACAATCTCTAATATTTAGCTTTGAACTAAACGTTGTGTTAACTAGAAATATAAAGCCCCTTAAGAGAGGGGCCTCCGTAGGGCCTCCTACAGAGACATGTACAGAGTAGATGAGCAATGCATTTTCCTTGAATCATATGAGGACAGGATTTAGTCATCGGACTTCAGTGCTGAGCTGGAATTACATTTCCCCCCAATAGTAAGTTTGAGACAGCCACCACAAGTGCTTTGATCCTCAGTGAGAGATAAAGGAATTATTCTGGGAGGACAAAAATTTGTGCATCATTGGGAGAGCTGTCTCATCTACACTCAAACACCGATTTATGTGTGTTACTGATAATATCTGCTTATGCTCTGATGTGAACCCAGAGCATGAAAGAAGTGAAAAGCCCAGCATCCCCCATTAGCGAGACTATCCCCTTTGGACAGCTAAATGGCCTTTCCCCCAAAAGCGAGCAAACAAGTCTGAGTTCAGAAACTTCAAATGTTGTCAGTATTATTAAATTCATGTTATTTATATCTAAATGTTATTGAATTTTCATTATTTGGTTATTTGATTAACTTCTTATTTCATTATTTAAATTTAATTATTATTCATCAAAATAAAATATCCATGCCTGCAGCATTAACCAGAAATCAAGCTTGGCAATAGGATTCATACTTCAGCTTTGCTCCTAGGGAAGTGCCTGCTAAGCACTCTTTGAATTTTGCATCCATTTCCTGGTTCTGAGTTTCACTGAACAAATTTTTCCAATCGCCAACTTCTCCTGCAACACACACAAAACAACAGACCCGGACATCTGTTAGAATATTTCTTTCTATCTTCTTTTTTTGGGGGAAATCGGAGGGGGAGATGAACTACGAGAGACTATGGACTCTGAGAAACAAACTGAGGGTTCTAGAGGGGAGGGGGGTGGGGGGATGGGTTAGCCTGGCAATGGGTATTAAAGAGGGCACGTACTGCATGGAGCACTGGGTGTTATACGAAAACAACGAAGCGAGGATCATCACATCAAAAACTAATGATGTATGGTGACTAACATAACATGATAAAATAAAATAAAAAAAGAATATTTCTTCCTGATTTTTTTAGCTACTTTATTTTATTTTTATTTTTATTTTTATTTAGGTGTAGTTGACACACAGTGTTACATTGGTTTCAGGTTCAACAACTCTCTAAGTGATGCCATGCTCATCACAAGTATAGCTCCCTTCTGTCACCTGTATGCAACACCTTACAGTTCCACCGAGCTGTATTCCTAATGCTGTGCCTTTTATTCCTGTGACGTATTCATTCCATAACCAGAGATGTGTACCTCCCCACTCCCCTTCACCCCTTTTGCCCATCCCCCCCCCACTATTTCTTCTCGATTTTACCATTTTTCAGTGCGGCATTTCACTTTGAAATGTGAAAATGACACATGAAGAAAATTAGTCTTAAGAACGAATGTAAGTCTTGTAAAATTAACAGTATCACTGGGGCTTCCCCATTGGTGGCATGGGAGGTGATGTGCTTTTTACATCACTGAGGGGACAATAGACTTCAATGATCTATCCCCACCCCTGTCTCAAGCCTCGAGACCTAAAATTCCACTTTTTGAGAGTCATTTTTTTTCTCTGTGAAGTCTTTTAAATACTTTCCCCCTTGAGAAGTTGTCATTTTACAGCAGGTTTTTGTGAAGACCTCAGATACTGAAAATTTTGCAGGAAGTTATTATTTTCCTGAGATTAGTAAATGTTTTTCTTATTACTTTTAAAAACAAAGGAAATTACTTCTTTCTTTAGAATCTTTTGGTGATTTGGGTTGAAGGTGCAAGTTCCTTGTTGCATAGCCATTTGAAATGTCTGTTTATTAAGAGGGTTTGATGACAGGAGGAAATGCTTAGATATATGAAGGGAATAACGTAAAACACAAAACTGTTTACAAATGTCATCCGCTGACATCACAGAGTAAGGCTGGAAGAAATATGCCAAAAAAGTTAAACATGCCTCTGGTGGGAGAAATGTGGATAATTTTTAACGCTTTTGCACATTTTCCCGTGCTTTCTGAATTTTCTACGAGGAATATTGTAAAAATTTTAAATTATTACTTTATTTTTGAATTTTTCTGTTCTGAATAGTGCTTGATTAACAATGTACAGAAAAGTCCTATTTTTTCCCCTCCTTTAAAGTTCATCAAACAAGGCATAAAAATCAGGGATAAATTCAGGAATCAAACCAAAGCCAGATTTATATTCAATGTTCCATTCACAGTGAGGATTTTAAATGGGTCTTCATTTGATAAAGTGTAGTAGAGTCAAGTAAACCCATGTTCAAATCCTGACTCCATCAATTATTAGCTTTGTGGCAATGGACAAATTAATAACCCTGAGCTGTGGTGTCCACATTAGTAAAATTAAGGAATCAATATCTTTTTTTTTTTGCTATAAAATTTATGCCCAGCAAAAGGTCTAACACACGATAGATGCCTGATAAATGATAGTTGTCGTTGTGATGTGTGCTGGTTCTAAATCACATTATACTTTTGTTATATATGCAACTAAAAAGCCTGGTAATCCCTAAGCTATATTATCATAAATTTATGTAAGAAATTAGAATGCTTTAATGAAATTTAGGTAAAATCATCAAGTGACAGACATAGCTAGTTGCCTATCCAATACTCATTATCTCTTCCTTCCTTATTAACAAAACCCCGATTTTAATTTAGTAATAATGTTCCCACCTTAAAAAAAAAAATCACAGTTCCCAGGCAACAGGGCAGAGAGAGGTGGCCAATGAAGTGTACAAAGTTACTGATGAGGCTTCCCACAAAGTTCTTTAAAGGGACCCCACTCAGCTAATACACTTAATTCTGTCTCTTGCTAGTCCCTTAGTTTAATAAAACAGTACTTTAATTTTAATGTAATGGCAGTGTTCTGGCTGCTATCTTGCCATCACAAAGTGACAAGCAGAAAGGTAGAAGGAACCTAGATATTGCAGACCTGCCAGACTAGTTCTGAACTGACTATGTCAAACTTCTTGTTGAGGGAGAGAAAAAGGAAATCCCGTATTAACTTAAGGTCTAGTTATGTGGATTGCCTATTACATGCAAATTGTGGGTGTCCCAGAAACCAGGGCGACTTTACCTTTGCGGAACAGAAACGGGCCAACAGCACCATGTGTTTCCCGGGACTTTGCTCGCATTGCTTGGAAGGTACTCTGGGCTGACATGGTTTGAATCTGCTCCCCAGTTAAAGAGAATCCAAAGAACTCAGCAATTTGTTTTATTCCAGCAGCCAGGTTCTGAAGACAAAATTTTCAAGGATAAACTTCTTTGTATGGGAATCATGCCATAGCAAAGACAGGCTTCTTAGCCAGAATGGATTTATTAAGCTTAGCTCTCTATTTATCTCACTATCTTTAGACTTCCCTTGATACTTCTATATCAATATTCAAGATGGCCCTACATGATATTCTGTATTGATTTTACTTTGTAGTTTCAATGTATGACTCTTCCTGAACTCTTCAGGATACAAATAATGACAGTAAGCGTTAAGTAGTAGGTAAGAATCTTATCTAAGGTGATACTAAAAAGCACCAGTCTAGATGAGCTGAGGAAATTAATGTAATTGTACATGCTCGTTCCAATTCTCTTTTCTTCTGAATTCTATGTTTAATTCCATTACGAAAGTCTAATTTTTGGAATCATAAAAACTAGGAGTCTTGAAATTTATCTTGTCTAAATACCCTTGTAAATCATGAACCTCCTCAACAGTATCCCTGACCACGAAGATTCAAAAATCTCCTAGAACAGTTTCTTAAACTGTATTCTACAGAACATTAATTTACTTTAAGGTGGTTATAGATGTTTCATGAAAAAAAAAAAGGAGGGTGAAGGGTTGAGGTCAAATAAGTCTGGAATCCTTTCAGTTAAATAAAGATAACCTTTTTGTTAGTTTTTCCTACAGGATCTCTGAATCTTTACTATGCCAGCTACAGCGTGAACGTCCCAAAGGAGTAGCAGTCCCCAAATCCATTTGAATAGGCAACCCCTAAGCAAGAATTATTAACATCTGGGCAACACTGACATTCCATAGAACACAAGTTTTAGAGACATTACTCTTGGCTAGAAGGAGAACAGATTAAATTGGTATGTTCTTTCATGTTTCATAGATGCACTCTATCAACGGAAGGGACAGGTTCAGTTATACTTTCCTTTGATAAGAATTTCAGGGGAGACTGGTGTTAAGAACTCACTTCCACTAGAAAGCATCTGACATACTCCCTTCTTTTTAACATACTTTCTTCACTGGAGTTCCAGGACCCTGGCTTCCTGTCTACCTCAATAGCCACTCCTCTGTCTCCTTTGCTGATTCCCCCTGTTTCCCAAACTCTCTCTATGGGGGACTCCAGGGCTCAGTCCTTGGTCTTCTTCTCTTCTCCATCTGTAACTTACATACATGGGTATGTAATCTCATGTGCCAAATTTATACAGCCCAGAACTCTCTCTTCATTCAAGACTTTTATACCCAACTGCCTACTTGACCCCTCCATTTAGATGACTGATAAACATCTCACACTAAACATACCCAAAACCAAACCCCTGATCTTTCCCACAATCCCGCTTTCACCTACTGGCATCTCCTACTCAAATGATGACAGCTCAATCCTCTCAGTTGGTCAGGCCAATAATATTGGAGTCTTATCTGATTTCTCTTTTTCTCTCACCACTCTTTCTTCCGTTCAGTCCAGCAGGAAATCCTATTAACTCTTCTTCAACATATATTCAGAATTCAACCACTAATCACTGCCACTGCCCCTTCTGGCCTGAGCCATCATCTTCCTTTGCTTGGACTATTGCAATACTCCCTTCATGGGTTTCTCTACACTGTCTTTGCTTCTCCCTAGTACGTTCTCATACACCAACCAGAATGAACCTATTAAAAACACACCAATTCCTATCACTCTTCTTCTCTTACAATGGCTTCCCATTTCACTCAGAGTGAAAGCCAAAGGAATTTCAATGGCCTGCCACATGATTCCCATACTTCACTCTACCTCATTCCCTTGCCTCTGTTCTCATTGGTTAATCTCCCCAGGCTCAACCCTACTGACCCCGCCACATTCACCTACTTCATGTCACTTAATGATGCCAGGAACACTCCAACCTTAGAGCCTTTGCTCCAGTTGATTGTGTATGCCTGGAAAGCTCTTATTCCAATTACCTACTTGGCTCACTCCCTCTCTTCTTTAGATCTTTGCTCAAATCACTTACTTTCCATGAGTTTTCCGCCAACTACCCTATTCTATCCTGGGATATGTCCAGCATCCCAGTTCCCCACCCCTACCTAACATTTCCAATTTTCCTTAATCAGCTATGCCATTTTTGTCTTAAATATTATAAACATTAAAAAAATATTGTGTTTATTATTTATCATTCTCTCTCACCGCCTTCTTCAGCTAGAAGGTAAGCTTCTCCAGAGCAGTGAACTTCGTCTGGCCTGTTCACTGATGTATCACAAGGGCCTAGAACAATGCTGAGCACTCACTCACTAAATGTTCATGGATAAACAATTAAAAAAAATAACATCATATGGAAAAATCAATTCACAGCCAAATGCATATTCAATTAAATCTCAACTGAAACCTACCTATTATTTTTGCCATTCTTAAATTGGACCATCTATCATAGCAGAAAATAAAGCAGCCACTCTTAATCATAAGTTGCTAACCATTATTTTATTTCTGTTTAATAAACAACCTAAGCCCCTATGCATTGTATTTTTTTCCTAGCCTGTCCCACATATTTGGAATATTCTTTTTTTTAACTGAATACAATATTCACACAACCAGACATTAAAAGTAAGTGCTCCATGTTATATTTTATAAGAAATTTTGCCATAGAATGTCAATAATCATAATCTCACCTTTTTCAGGTCTTCATATAATAGGAACTTAATGTTTTCATCATCAAGATGTTTGTTCCAATTAATGGCAAAATCAAAATAACTTCCCCAAGAAACTAAAAACACAGGGAAAAAAATTCTTAAGGAATTTTAAATAACTGAGGCTAAAATGATAGATGGTTAATTTATGCTCTAAAATATAAACTATACATATGTGTATATGCTCAAACAAGATTTTTTTTAAAGATTTATTTATTTTAGAGAGCACACATGCCAGTGGGGGGAGGGGCAGAGGGGGGAGAGAGGGAGGGAGAGAGAGAGAGAGAGAGAGAGAGAAGCAGACTTCTCGCTGAGGAGCCCACCAAAGGGCTCCACGAGAGGCTTGATTTCATGACCCTGAGATTATGACCTGAGCCAATATCAAGAGTCTGACGTTTAACCGACTGAGCTACCTAGGCACCCCTCAAACAAGATGTTTATTTGTTATTACAAATCTCTGCTCCAAAAGAATTGGCATAAACCATTCCTATTGTCAGATTTCTATTCATTTTATTATTTTCATAAATAATAACACAACTAAGCTAGTTGCAAAAGTGGTTTGATAAAAACTATCAGACATTCATGAATATTTAGGTGAATAAAATAATTCAGAAATAGTGAATGATACATGAAAACTGACAGTGCCAGAAAGAAAGAAATGATGAGACAGATATTATCTAGATCAGCATTGCCCAATAGAAATTTAATGCAAACCACAACTGTAATTTTTATTTTATTTAAATTCTATTACAATCGAGCCCCACATCGGGCTCTCTGCTCAAGTGGGGAGCCTGCTTCTCCCCTCTCCCTCTGCCACTCTGCCTACTTGTGCTCTTTCTCTCTCTGTGCATCAAATAAATAAATAAAATCGTTTAAAAAATACTTGATGTATTTTTCGACTTCTAAAACTTTGGTTGAAAAAGTAGATTCATACACTCAACTTGTACCAAACTTATTTAAAAGTCTCCAATAACTGAACTGAGTATCTGTTTTTAAGTTTAAATTTAAGCTAATTCAAATTAAATAAAATTTAAAATTTAGCTCCTCGATTGCACTTGTCACATTTCAAGTGCTCAGTTGCCACATGTAGCTAGTGGCCCCCATCCTGGACAGTGCAGATTGAGACACTGATCAGCTGTGCTGCTTGCGGACTGTGTGACTTTGAGCAATTCGCTAAACCCCTTTGTACCTTAGGATCCTCATCTGTAAAATGGGGTTTTTAGGAGGTTTAAGTGAATTAACACATATCAGATGCTTAAAACAGCCCCTGATTTATAGTATCCACTCAACAAATTTTAACCATTATTGCTATATCATTAATAATAGTAATATTCTCATAATTATTATCATTATCATGAAGCCCTTGCTTTGAGCCAGGCTGTTTCTACATGTTTTATTTGTTGTGGCAAACTCTGTAAGTTTCATACCCATATCCGTTTTTGTTGCTACCCAAACTGATTGCTTGGGTCTAAGCCAACTGTGAGAATTTGGGTTCCTGTTTTTCAGCCTCTCTCAGAGCTGTGGTTGGCCAGCGAGACACAAGCAGGAGTCTGCTGGAAGGTTTCTAGCAAACCTGTTGCTGTCTTGTTAAGTCTTCTTCGTGAACTGAAGGGGATGCTTGGAAGGACAGTAGCCAACTTGAGAGTATGTTGCAAAAGGGGCAAAAGGGAGAGGCCAGGGGAATGTCAGAGGTGTTGGCCCGACATCACTGGGCTGGGCAGCTGAACCAGCTGCCTTCCTTCAGGCTTCTTGTTTAGTGAGAAAAATAAAACACAATCTATTTAGGCCCCTGTGGTCAGGTTTTCTATTCTTCCAAATACACTATTAATTGGTACATTTTATCCTTCAATCTTTAAAGCAATCCAATGTGATAGGTACAATTTTTAAACCTGTTTTGTTGATGGGGAAATAGAAACCCAGAGAAGCTAAGTCACCACTTCAAGGTCACAGGGTTAGTAAGTTATGGGTATTGTCATCTTTCGACAACTGTCTGACACAAAAGCTAGGGCTACCAAACAAAATGCTATACTGTCCCACTTCCTGTAGGTCGGATACTCTTCTCCTTACTTTAGAAGTAAAGAAACCAAAGTTCACAGCGATCAAATGTCTTGCTCAAAATCACCGAGGCATGAGTGATTTGAACATGGGTTTAAGCTCTAGCTCTGCTCACTGGGTTATATAAGACTGATGAATCACTGAACTCTGCCTCTGAAACTAATAATACACTATATGTTAATTAACTGAATTTAAATTTAAAAATTAATTAATTAATCTAAAAATGTTCTAGTTCTGCTACTTAATGGCTGCGTGACCTTCTTATGCCTCTATTCCCATCTTTATAAAACGGGGACAATAATAGTATTTATCCTCGTAGGGTTCTTATGAGAAATGAAATTTAAAAACGTATGCAAGGGATAGCATATAGTGCCTGGCATGTAGTAATTGTTCAGTAAGTGGTAAGTATTTTATTCTCTCTAATGTTAATTATAATATGTAGTAGTAAGTGATGAAGCCCAATCCAGACCTCTCATATTCCAAATCCTGTATGTTTCCCAGTACGTTGAGCTTCCTCCCTGGGTTGAATTTAACAAGTTTGTAAGGCAGATACTTTATTCAAGTTAAGCCCAGCACATTTTATCATTGTCAATCAAATAATTAGGCTGAAAGAGTGGCTAGAGCCACAAAGATTTCCTACGATAGATTGTTCCAGTGATGACAGCTTCTCATCACTAAATGCCCTCTCATGTCATCAATGGGGGGCAGTTTCAGACTTGCCTTGACTGCCTCCTCCAACCAGTCTCAGTGAGTGGTTTCCAGACAAACTAAACTTTCTTCAAGGTGCTTCATAAGCACCTTCCATGCACTATTTTTTTCTCTCCTACACCCCAATCCCCATACTTCATCTTTCCTTTGGGGCCAGTACTGACTGCACCCAGTGTCCATGCATGTGGTTGCTGGGCTGGTCACCTTCAAAAGTGGTCCTCTTGGAGCGACCTGTCAACAACGTCCTTTCTAGGGTCATCTGGCATTAATTCTGCCTTCTACTCCCTGTAAGACTCAAGAGAGCCACGAGTCAGAGAAGGCATCTTTAATCTCTGGCCACTCTACCCATGGGGGGCAGAGTCACCAGTACCTACAAGCAGTGGGACCCCTGGCAAGTGATTTAACTTGTGCAAGGGGCGACTACTGCCTTATTCATAGTTTGTTACGGTCCTAAGCGAAATTATGCACATACAACATCTACGTTAGTACCTGGAGCATCAGTAATTGCAGTTAGCAATAACCAGAGGTGAAACAACAACATGGTCTAGCAAAGCTGATTTCCTTTCTGGCAAACGAATATCTTAGGTGTGGGTTTTTAAGATTTTTAAATTTTATTTTATTATTATTTTTTAAGTTTTTATTTATTTATTTATTTATTTATTTATTTATTTATTTATTTATTTATTTTAGTAATCTCTATCCCTCAACATGGGGCTTGAACTCACAACCCTGAGTTCGAGAGTCACACGCTCTACCCACTGAGCCAGCCAGGTGCCCCTGTCCCATGTCTGTTCGATGCCTACCCCCTACTCATAGTCAACATATGAATTGCCTAAATTATTTTTAAAAACACTAATGTATTATTGTTTGATGAACAGAACTAGTGGTGCTATAAAACTTCATTTAAAAGCAACTTTTCGGTTCCTGGATCCTCCTTAATCTTCTTTCTTTACTGTAAGACACATTTGATTTTTTTGTACTTAATGTGGTCATCTGTTGAAGTAAGAATTATTTTGCCAACAGCTATACCTTGTCCTTTCATGAACTGTCTGAAGAATTCATCCCAAGAGCCATAGCTTGGAATATCAGGGACATCATTGTGGAAATGGAAAAAAGATACTGCCGTATCTTTAGGGTTTCGAAATATCACCAATATCTAGGGAGAGAAAATTAAGTTAGTTTATTCAGGTCTATGTTTTGAACTTTGGAAAAGTGAAGGGGTGAGCAGTATCATTGTGTAATCCTGTATATGACTTAATTTTGTTAACATATAGAGAAAGAAGGACAGTAAGAAATTGAAGAAGAGGGGGTAGCAGATGGAGAAATTTGGGGAGAAGGGAGAAAAAAGAAGAAAAAGCAGATTGATGTTGTAGCAGAGAACTTCTGCTAATGAACTTAGTAAAAAGAGTTGTATGTAGAAGATATCGAAAAGGAAAAAAGAGCAAACTCGTTAGAATCGTCATAAGGGCATGACCTGGGAAGTTAAAACGCCAAGTAAAAATTGCAAAATAATATTAAGGAAAATGAAAATAATGTTCAGAGTATGGTGGGAGAAGATCAAACAGTGATAAGAGTAACCAACGCACCTATTGTTACGTACGCATGACATGAAGCTTGCTATTATATGTGAAATTCAGAAATAAAATGTTTCAGACCTCAGGTAAATAATGCTCACCAGAAAGAACAACAACAACAAAAAACCCTTCTGCTTGTTTTCCTAGATTGTACTGTTTTGTAAACACTCTAAATATCTTAGTGGGATTCTGAAATCTATTCACTATAAAACAGATTTTAAAATATGTTCAATTCTAGGTATATGTTTTATATCCCAGCTGAAAATGCATTTGCTTTGCATGAAACAATAGCAAATATAATCTGAAGAAAGAAACAACATAAGAAATACTAAATCTCACACTTCATTTATTAAAATTCTAAAGATGCAAACTTCATCACATAGCTCAGAAAGGCAATATCTAGACGTTAAAAACTTCAAATTGAAATATGAGTAAGAAGGGACACTCACCTTGGCTTTATTCTTGAAGATGGACCCAGGTAATTTGTCATAATGGAGGTGAGTTGCCAAAATCCTTGGCGATGGAAATTGTTTCATTCTCTTAAAAATATACACAATAAAGTGAAAGTGTGTGTGTGTGTGTCTTATGGTCAATCACCCTTAAGTGTAGTATCTGAATGGTAGTTTCAAGCATCGCTATTGTTATGCTTTTTCCATTTCCTCCTCCAATTTTTGTTTTGTTTTGTTTTTTGTTTTAGAGAGAGAGAAAAGAAGAGTGCGCTTGCGCACAGGGGTGGGGGAAGGGCAGAGGGGGAGAGAGAATCTTAAGCAGTCTCCACCCCCAGCAGGGATCCCTGCGGGGGGCGGGGGAGGGGCGGGGGCGCTGCTGGGCTCCATCTCACAACCCTAGGATCATGACCTGAGCCAAAATCAAGAGTCAGATGCTTAAGTGACTGAGTCACCCGGGCGCCCCTCCTCCAATTTTTAATTTTTTCTGTTTTCTTGCTTTGTGGGGGTGAAGAATGGAGAAAATCATAAACAAATAATTTAAATCGTCCTTTTGGACTTCCTTATAGGAACTGGCTTATCTTTTTTTTTTTTTTGGTCGTTTTTTGAAAAGTTTACCTTTTCTCGAAATCACATCAAATTCTTGTGTTCAAGACAAGCTCATAATCTGCGGTCTACTCTTTGACTTAATTTGGCTCTCTTCTATAGTCAAGGTCTTTAACAGAAATATTTAAGTTTTTCATAGCTCCTCCAAACCTGTTTTTAATATCTAGCTTTTTTTTTTTTTTTTTACCAAAAAAATTCCAGGGGCATATGGGTGGCTCAGTCAGTTAAGCATTTGGCCTTCAGCTCAGGTCATGATCCCCGGGTCCTGGGATCAAGGCCCACCTTGGGCTTCCTGCTCAGCAGGGAGCCTGCTTCTCCCTCTCCCCCACCCCCACTCCACTCATGCTCTCTCTCTCTCTCTCTCTCAAATAAATAAACAAATAAATGAACAAAATTTTAAATTTCCATTCAAATATCCCAACAGAACCTGAAAGTGCACAGTCACTTGAATATCTGAGAAATATTTTACAAGAGAAATTCTTGTCAGTGTGAGGACTCAGTCATTGATTCTTTGTGTGTGTGTATCCACTTCCACTGATAATTTATTTATTTATTTTTTTTAAAAGATTTTATTTATTTATTTGAGAGACAGTGAGAGAGAGAGAGCAAGCACATGAGAGGGGGGAGGGTCAGAGGGAGAAGCAGACTCCCTGCTGAGCAGGGAGCCTGATGCGGGACTCGATCCTGGGACTCCAGGATCATGACCTGAGCCGAAGGCAGTCGATTAACCAACTGAGCCACCCAGGCGCCCCACTGATAATTTAAAAAATGAAGTTATCTGCTTAATCTGCCAGGGGTAAGGGTTTCATCTTAATATTAGGTCTTTAGTACGTTATATGGGCTAAAGCTTCAAGTTTATTTCCACACTTGTAGAGGTCACTCACTGCTTGGTCACATTATTTCCAGTGATAAAATGATATTTAGATATTTATAGCCAATTGTTCTGTAAAAACTTAGTGGAGATCCCAACTCAAGCAAGGGCAAAAAATAAAATGAGGTTTTTTAAAAAAAAAATTTAAGGGGTGCCTGGGTGGCTCAGTTGTTAAGCGTCTGCCTTCAGCTCAGGTCATGATCCCAGGGTCCTGGGATCGAGCCCCACATCGGGCTCTCTGCTCGGCGGGAAGCCTGCTTCTCCCTCTCCCACTCCCCCTGCTTGTGTTCCCTCTCTCGCTGTGTCTCTCGCTGTCAAATAAATAAATAAAATCTTTAAAAAAAAGTTAAGTCAATGATATGGGTCCAAGTGGTGATTAATAGTCATAATACTTAATTTATATCAAACTGTCCTAATTTTTAGTTTTGAATGTCACTTTTACATTCATTCACAGCAATCCTCTCAGGTGGGTATTATAACCCCCATTTTAGAGATTAACAATAGGCTTTGAGGTTTTAAGTGCTTTGTACAAAATCGCACAGGTGGTGATTTTCCGATTAAGTTGTAGTGTGCTGTTTCCACTACACTGCACGGCCAAAAATCACAAGACATATGAGAAATGGTAAAGTTCCTAAAAGGATTAGAAAAATACCCAGGGAGAAAATGAGAAATAACTGTAACAAACCTGATATGCATATAATAAAATGTCGATGAAAATGTGATATGGCCAAACTATAAGCAATGTAAAGACTGTATGTTTATTTTATTTTATGTTTTAAGTAATCTCTATGCCCCAATGTGGGGCTCTAACCCACAACCCTGATATCAAGTTGCATGCTCCACCAACTGAGACAGCCAGGCATCCCAGGAAAATATATGTATTTTAGGAAAGTCTTCTGTAAAGTGAGTAACTGCTGAGTAAATCTCATCTTCTTACTGATTTCCATTTTAAAATAGGGGCGCCTCGGTGGCTCAGTCAGAACATGCAACGTTTGATCTCCAGGTTGTGAGTTCGAGCCCCACTTTGGGTATAGAGTTTACTTTTCAGAAAAGCTGGAAAACTGGGTAAATGTTAGCATCAATTGTAAAGTTGATGCTAAACACCCTCTTTAGAAAAAATGTTATGCAATGGCCTGGACAGGGGGAAACCAGTGGGGCTTTTCATTGGCCCATCGTTTCTTACGTAGGAAAAAGCTGCTGAAGACTCCTGTCCACACATCCTGAGCCAGTCCTGACCACCCACGTCTGGGCCCTGATGTGGCTGCTAGCGCCTCGGACACCTCCTGAGGTTGCAGCCAACCACAGGCAGGATGCACACTTACCCCCCACTCCAGCCCACCCCTCAGTCCACGTACCTCTCATTTGCATGCGATTTTTTGTGACTTTAGTCCGATCCACGGAAATGGGCTTCCTTCCACCTAAGATCCAACTTTTCAGTTTATATTTGTCATCATGCCAAGTGTCTGTCATTTTCCAGAAACCACTTTCTAAGTCTCAATTCAATGACTTATTTCTTAGTAACCCAGCTCTTCCATCTGCTTGTTGGGAGTCTTGGTAGTAAACACTTCTCAAAGTTTTGCTGAGACTGTGGTTCCCCCTTGAATACAGCTTTCCCTTCCCGAATGCATTTCTGGTGTGTCTAGGCAGGGCCAGGGATGGTCTTCCTCTCACCTGTCCTATCCAAGCCCTGAAGTCCTCAGGCAGATCCTTCCTCCCACCTTTTTCTTGCCTTCCCTGGCAGCGACCAGAGCATCCTGTCTCACACCCAAGCCCCACTTAATTATACTGATAAAGTGAGTAATAATATATGGTAAGGTGAATTAGAACAGGTAGGATGACCTGTTAGAACCTTTACACACACCAGTGACTTACTCTCTCAGCTACTACTTGAGTCATCCCGGAGGCAGGGACATTAAAGGTAATGTCTTCCTGGAAACGTCTGGGGACTGCTGACATAAACTGAGGGTAGGATTATCTGGGCCTTAGAGGAACCCTCCTGTTGGCATCCCACCCAATTCTCTGTCTTCAGAGACAAAGCTTTTTTGTTTTAAATTTTTTTTTAAGATTTTGCTTTTTATTTTTATTTATTTAAGATTTTTTTTAAAAATAAAGATTGTACTTATTTGCAAAAGTGCGAAAGCACGTGCCAGGCGGTGGGGGAAGCGGGTGTCGGGGTAGGGAGAGAGACAAGCAGACTTCACACTGAGTGCCAAGCCAGACTGGGGCTCAACCTCAAGACCCTGAGATCATGACCTGAACCAAAACCAAGAGTTGGCTGTTTAACTGACTGAGCCACCCAGGCTCCCCTAAGATTTTTTTTTTTTTTAAAGATTTTATTTATTTGACAGAGAGAGACACAGCGAGAGAGGGAACACAAGCAGGGGGAGAGGCAGAGAGACAGGGAGAAGCAGTCTCCCCACTGAGCAGGGAGCCCAATGCAGGGCTCGATCCCAGGACCCTGGGATCATGACCTGAGCCAAAGGCAGATGCTTAACGACTAAGCCACCCAGACGCCCCTAAGATTTTATTTTTTAAGTAATCTCTACATCCAAATGGGGCTACAAACTTACAACCCTGAGATCGAGAGTCACATGCTCTACTGAACGAGCCAGGCAGGCACCCCTGGTTTTAATTTTTCTTCAGGTTTCTCGGCTTGCTTTCCCTCCTATTTTTCTTTTATAAGTCGGCTGTGCAGAGGTTAAGAAGCTTGAATTGGAAAACTTGGGTTCAAATCCTGGCCCTGCCATTTATTAGCCCCTTGACCTTGGGTAAGTTTCTAATGGTTTTATCTTTTGTAAAATCGTGATGAGGTTATTTCGCCATGAAATGAGATAATCCTTGAAAAGTGCTGGGATAATATGGTAAGCACAAAATAAGCTGCCATGATTTAAGTACTGTACTTTCTGAACACAAAACTAAAAATATCCCCCAAACGGAAGAATTCTTTCTATGATAATTTACTATAAGTTTAAAGGCTGTTTTGTACTAACCTGGTATTTTTCTGGGTCCCCACATTCAAGAATTGGGAATTCTGGATATTCATACTTTTTTTTAGATTCAGCAAATATCAATTCACTAATGATGTGGAGAATCCAATTTGAACCTGTAAGAAAAACAAAGAAAGCTCATTAAGGAGTCTTGATATAGCAAAGGCATGTTACTTTCACATATATATCATAAAAATTAAAACCTACAGCCATCCTGTGGTATGTACAATGTGCATTTGAAATAAACTGGGCTATAAAAGAGTTTTGTGGAAACAGCACTTCTTACGTTAGTGCAAAATTCAAGTTATCTTATTTTTCAGATTTTTCCTTTAACAAGTGGCAATGTTTCTTGAATCTATCATATGTTCCTTACAGAACAATGTTATGTTATAGAAATGATTTTTTATTATATATCATGTATTATTTCCCTTATGTTAATGAATATTTTCTATAGGAGTATTATAATTTTGATTTTATTAAAACCCAGCATCGATTAACAGAAAAATATCACTTAGGTTTATTAAAGCCATCTTCATCTGATATTTTTCTGTTAATCGATGCTGGGTTTTAATAAAATCAAAATTATAATACTCCTATAGAAAATATTCATTAACATAAGGGAAATAATACATGATGCCAGTTAAAAAAATCAAAAGTAGATTGTGAGATTTTATGAAATAGGAGAATTTAGATTCTTAATGTCTCATCCTCCATTGATGAATCACCATGTAAAACTGGTTTGCAAAACTAAAGGATTGATGATGTTTGATCCTGAAAAATAATCTATTACGTGGAAATCATCATATGTATTATAGATATGGGCATGCTTTTGTCTTTAGTCGAGAATCAAGATGAAAATCTTTACTGTTGTCAGTGCTTGATAGCAAATGGACTTTCCTGCATTCACCTTTCTGGTAGCTAGCCCCACCATGAATCCTTCCTGCATCCATCATCCAGCAGACCTCCTCCCTCAGACACCGAGGTTTCTAAATCTAGCAGTTCTAGTGATTGATTTCACAAGTTATGCTCTTAACCGTCTTTTTCTTTTTTTAAGATTTTATTTATTTATTTGACAGAGACACAGCGAGAGAGGGAACACAAGCAGTAGGAGAGGGAGAAGCAGGCTTCCTGAGGAGCAAGGAGCCTGATGTAGGGCTCGATCCCAGGACCCTGGGATCATGACCTGAGCCGAAGGCAGACACTTAACGACTGAGCCACCCAGGCGCCCCTGCTCTTGACCGTCTTGATCATCCTCCCACTGCTTTCTGGCTAGCTTCATGCAGCGATGAACTGCCCTCCTCCCCGACCTTGGCCTTGCACCCTGCCCAACTACTCACGATGAGAAAGTGCCCTTGTAGAAAATGATTTGTCATTTACCACACTTTGGATAAGATGCGAGCACTATGTCATCACTTCTGGCCTCAAAGGTGTCCAAGGCCTGGAAAGTTTCTGAGGTGCACATGGTGATTGGGTACGGAATTCCTTGATGAGTGAAAAACAAGCAAGAAAGTGCAGTTTCTTTTGATTTTTCCAAAGCTTCGTCAATGTAGTCAATAAATTTGGACTTCCTGGCCATGCTGGCTCCCTGCTGATGAACCTGTTCTGTGGTCGTCCAGGGACAGCAACGGCTTTTAATGGAGTTTCAGGAGGTGGAATAAAGGGCTCCCCCAGTTCACATGAGAAATAAATCATTGAATTCTCCTCCCCCCCACCTGCCGGTTTGCACGCCCACCTCTGACAAAAGGCAAACCGCAGGTGCAGAGCAGCGTGAGGATCAGGGAATATAACCCCAGGGGTTGATTATATTACCATCATAGACAATCCTCCCAAGGAAAGTAAGAATAGAGTCCATTACCAGAAGATAACAGATATTAACTTTCTAACAAACAGTTCTTTAACTGAATCAGACAATTTTCCATCACAGAATTGAGGAAATTTTGTATGTCAACAGAACATACCTTACTGAGGCAGGTGGTAGATGTAGGAGAGCAACTTTTAATCTCCATTTTACAGCAGGAAAAGAACAGACCAGAGAGGGTTCCTAGTTGGATAGGTTTCTGGGTTTCATTATATTTGTAATAATGTATTTTTAAAATGTTTGTCAAAAGGTAAAATTGGAATATCTGACTGTCCTACTATTTTTATATTTCCATAAACCACATCCCTGTTGGAGATCTTATTACTTACATAACAATGGGATGCTATTCACTGTAGGTGGGAAGGTTGTGTATTTCAGAATCTCCCTCCCAGAAAAGAAAAGGAGTAAGACTGGACTCCTCGCCAAGCTGCTTAGTGGGATTGTCCCTTACATTATAGTCTTTGTTTTCCTGGGGAAGGTAGAATTTAAGGCATTAATTCACATGTTGCTGTTGTCCTTTGCTTGCTTCTTAATGAGTAAAATGATAAAAAAAAAAACAACAATATGCCTGGATCCTGTTTTGATACTAATGCCTGTAATTATAGGAGGATTTGGGGGGGCTGATTGTGAGCTCTGATTCTTCTTAGTCTCCCCAGGCTGAGGGCAGGCTGTCAGTCTTACAGTTCTACCTACTTGACTCTTATTTTTTTCTTAAGATTTTATTTTTTAAAGTATTCTCTACACCCAGTGTGGGGCTCCAACTCACAGCCCTGATTGTATTCCACCAACTGAGCCAGTCAGGTGCCCCTCCCCCACTTGACTTTTAATTGTCTGCATGCATGGTGGAGGTAAACAGCATGAATGATTGTGTAATTACCTAGATTATATGATACATTTGCACTGGTGTGCTTTCGAGTGCAGGTGGGCCTCCAGTTCTGTACAATCCCATTTTCTGTTTAGCTCCTCGATCCACCCAGGCCTGACATAAGTGATGGGGGACCACTTAGACGGCACCGCCCTGGCTTGGCTCACACTTCCTGGTGGCATCAGCACAGGAGGTTTGTTTAAAGCTCCTTTCCTTGAGATTAAAGACATTGTTCCCTCTTAATGTTTTTTCTTTTCATTTTTTTTCTAGGCTATGGACTTATACTGGGCGGCGGAGGGGGAGAAGAGAGAATTCTGGAAAGAGAGAGAGATTGAGAGGTTGAGAGAGAAAGAGGGAGAAAGAGAGAGCGAGAGAAAAAAAAACTTGGTGACCAAAAATGTCTAGGGTGATTGAACTCTAGTCTGATTAGTAAAGCAGGGAAGCAAGAATCAAGAAGCATATGGCTCTTGGAAACAAACTGAGGGTTCTTGGAGGGGAGGTGGGTGGGAAGACGGGGCAACTGGGTGATGGGCATCAAGGAGGGCACTTGATGGAATGAGCACTGGTGTTATATGCAACCAATGAATCACGGAAAAAAAAAAAAAAAGCAGCAGCATATGGCTCCTGTGTGCCAATTGGCCCAAGGCTGATTTTTAGGGGCAGGTAAATCGGCGCCTGCTACGCCATCCTCCTCTTTATGTAGTAGAGTGCCCCTTCAGGATTAAGTTGGGCTTTTCCCCTCTTCTTTACCAAGAGAAGTGCTACTTCCTAGTGTAGTATAGGATTGAAATTTACTTTGGAATCCCACATATAGGGAGAGGGTGTAACCTCTCGGTATTTTGGGGAGTTTATTAAAAAACTGGCTCCCCTCTTCAGAAGTTGAACACCAGGAAGTCAGGGATGAAGTCTAGTTAGTGGATGCTGGAAGCATTCAGGGTCCAGGGCAGTTTAACTGGTGACACTTTGGCATCCTAGACTGGGGATGATGGAGAAGCACCCCACTCCAGCATGGGGATGCTGGCAAGCAGGAGTCCTGCCCCCACTTCCCCTGCCCCAGGGACAGTGCTGCCAGAGGCTGCAGGTGCCACTGCTCTGTGTCCTGTGGCCATCTGAAGGGAAGGCTGGGTCATCACCAGGATCCTGGGCTTCTCTTCTCCAGTAGGTGCCTTTTGTCAATAGAAACGATGGGTCATCTAATCTCTGCAACCTCTTGTCAGCTGACTGAGAGAGCTTTATTTTGAGGATCCCAGAGAGGTTGCTCTTTCTCTTTCCGTGGGAAAATGGACAGCAAACTTCCCAGGTACTTATTAATGAAGAGATCCCTGCTGCCCCTGCTCTTATGACCACTACAGAGGACTGGGACTTTGGCCAACCTCTGTGCCTTGGGCATGATGAAGCAAGGGAACTTCTTTCTGGTCACTTGCATCCCTCTGCTGGAGTTAGCAAATCAGGGTCACACTGGGGAATGTACAGCCTCCCAAAGGAGTCTTTGGGGGGGTGCTGGAGACTTAGAGGAGGATGAATAGGACTTAATGAACTGGGGATCTTGAGCGTTTGCATTCCAGGGTTAGGGTTGGGGCAGGTCAGTTACTCCTGCCTACTGAAACAGGTCTGCAATTCTAACAAGCTCCCAGGTGATGACCATATTGCTGATTCTTGGAGAATATCACACTTTGGGTTGCAGAGTGTAGAAAAATAACTGAGCACAGGTTTTTCGAGTCAGTGTCTTAAGTTCAAATCCAATTTTGTCTCTTGGTAGCTCTGTGATTGTAGGCAGGGTATAACTCTTTCCTTCTCTGTGAAATGAGACACTCATAGCACCTATTATGACATAGGGTTTTTGTGAGTATTAAATAAATTAACGGACATAGCCCGCAGTCTGGATCTGCTCTCAGTAAGAAGAGCACGATAAAAGGTAATTCGGTGTGGGGCGGGACCAACGCCAGGAGGGGCGGGGCCGTGCCAACCCTTGCGCACGCGCAGTCGTGCGTGTAAGCCCCTCAGGTAAGAGAGCAGGGCTTCTAGCTGGGCGTCCTGATTCGGGCTCTCCACAGAGCGGAGTGGGGCAGGTTTTGTGGGGGCCTTGCTAAAGTTCTGGGATCATACGGAGGGAAGTTGGGTGTTACTATACCCATTCGGCGGGAGGGCGCGGGACAGGCCCGAGTGTTTCCGGGTCGCTCGGCGACCTTGTCGCCGCGGCCGGGCGGTGCGGCCTGCGCTGTCCGCGCGAGTTGGCCGCGGGCCGGGCGGGAGCGTCCGGGGAGCCCGGGCAGGCGGGAGAGCGCGGGGGGCCGCCGGGGTGCACCGGAGACCCGGGGGGCGGGGAGCCGCGACGGCCTGAGGATCGTGGGTAGCCAGCCTGAGGCAGCTCTCGGAAGCCTCGCTGGTGCCTTGGTTTTGGACCGTGGGAACCTGGAAAAAGCGCTTTAGCTAATTAAACCCAGGGATGCTGAGAAACCTTGCTCTCCAACATCTAGAGTGCGGGAGACCTTGCTGTTTGACGAATCATTTTGCCTGCGATGCTGAGCCGCGTCGATTTCCAACTGCAGTGCATAGATGAAGCGTTTTCGGACGCAACATTGCACCTTTAAGCTTGTGCACTCTGAATCAGCTTCTCAGCCCAGTGTGATGTGAACCCCATGACACACAGCGCTGCTTTTCTTCGAGCCCATTCGAGGACTGCTTTTATTTTATTTTATTTTATTCATTTATTTTAATTAGGATTCATGTCCCATGCGGGGCTTGACCTTAGGACCCTGAGATCAAGAGTCCGTGGTTCCACCGATTGAGCCACCCAGGTGCCTCGAGCACTGCTTTAAGTTTCACCTAAATTCCATCCTTCTCCAAATTCTCGTCTAGTCTTGTTCTTTCTCTGCCAGCTAGTAAGCCAACTTTGTCGTGGACAGGTATGCGTTTGGTGGTCTTTATCAACTAGGCTTTAGTAGTCGTTATAAACACCTTGCCTGAAGCTGAGCGACTTGTAATGTAAAATGTGTATATATATATTTTTTTAAAAGGTAAATGCTGTAGCAGTGTTATTTGTACTTTATTTTTTGAACTCTTAACCTCACCTCCGAACAAAACCAAATTTTACTTGGATTCCTTTTACTGCGGATATTGCTGCAGGCAGGCTTATTTTTAATTAAAAACATTTTTTTCACCCATTGCACATTAAAAATTACCCCAAGAGAGGTCCCTGTACTGATCATGACTTACTTCCTGTCAGGTACAGCATTGTAAACAGCAAAACAGTTTTCCATTCCCACCCACTCAACTGCCTGTTGGTTATACTTAGGTTCTTAACTTCCTCTGCTTCATTTTTTTTTTAAGATAATAAAGTTTTAATCTTTTAGTTCCCAGGGTGATCGCATTATCAAAATGAGGGAAGGGAATTTTGGAGGGAAGGGACACCTGGTAAAGAGATTAATAGGATAATCCTACAAAAGTAGAGTATTTAATTACCCCACTCTCAGGCATTGTGAAAAGGAGTCAAGAGGGAATGGCGGTGAGCAGAGAGCTGGGATTGTAGAGTATTATAGATCTTACCCTCTCTGCAAAGAGGCAGAGAACAGTATGACAAAGAGCATACACTGGACAGTATCAAAATCCTGAGATTAAAAAGGACTGGTTTCTCCTGTTGTTGGGGTTAGAGGGAGGCAGAGAAAAACTTGCATTTACATTTCATATATTAAGTCATATATGCTATTTTTTTTTAGCTTATTATATAGCCCTTTCCCTTGTTCAGCTTTTATGTTGGGAGAAAGAGAATGAAGACCCAAACCCTTTTTTTGATTAGTTTTTGTTTTAGTTACAGGAAGAGAATTAAGATCTAAAGTCTAGTTTGCCACTTACTGGGTGATGGTGGTCAGTTTTTCTCCTAATGTGGTCCAGGGCCTCTCGTATAGAAGCCATTTGGAGTTGCTTGCAAATATGCAGATTACTGGGATGCTAACCCTAGATTTGCTGAATCAGAATCTAGGGGAACTACAGGACTGGGGAACTGCAGATTGAGGCCCAGGAATGTGCATTTTTAACAAGTCTTTTGGGTGACGTTATTTAGTTTGACAACTACTGTTAGAATAGCAGCTCCTCAGGAACAAGTTGGTTTGTTGCTCAACTTTGTATAAAATGCTTGGGCTGTGGAACATAGTTCAATATATGTTGTATAAATAAATGAAAACTCCAGCTATGAAACATATACAACCACTTATAAAATAACCTTACCTTTGTAGGTACTTAAAAAGAGCTTTCACATATGGTGACTGTTAGATCATATCTTAATTCCTAGTTTGGCTAAAAAAAAATGATTTACCCTATCTATATTCTATATTCTTAGGCAATTAAAAAATCTCAATTCCATAAGTTGTTCTTTTTTACAGTGCTTTTTTTCAGTTTCATCTCCCTTTTGTGCTTTATCCAGTGGTGTCTTTGGTTCATTGTGTGGGGTAGAGATTGAAAACTAGGAATGTGGGACATATCAAATACAAATAAGCATACAGTAACTTCAGGGTTTTATCCCTGAATCATTCCGACTGTTTTTGTGGAAGTGGTATTAAGTTTGTGTATGCTCATTCAGGTTTACATGTATTTGTTATTGTTGAACTTAGGATGGCCCGCACTATGGAACCAGTGGCAAAGAAGATCTTTAAAGGAGTTTTAGTAGTTGAACTCTTGGGCATTTTTGGAGCATATTTTTTGTTTAATAAGATGAACACAAGCCAAGGTAATCCTAATTCAGAAGTTAATGTTTTCTAGAGGGGTGTGCAGTTTGCTAATGCATTGAGTTACTAAACAGCATTTTTAGAGAAATTGCTTCTTCAATATATTAGGCATTTTGGGTTGCTG